GTTCTTGGGGAAGAGGCAGAAAAGCTTCCCTTCCTGGCTGGGCTCGAAGCCGTATTTTTCCAGCTGCTGCGGGTCAAACGTCCCTTCCTGGAGGTCCTTCCGGACCTGAGGGGCGGCCGTCTGCTCGAAGAGGGCGCGGGCGGTGAGGGGAGGCTCGGTGCCCGGGGAGGCCCGGTAGGAGACGTAGGCCTTCAGCCGGAAGCCCGTCAGGTCGGGCACCACCAGCCGCGGCACCATCTCGGGCACCAGCACGAACTTGCGGCTCGAGGTCAAGTAGCCCAAGGGCTTGCTGCCGCGGCCCTTGTAGAAAGTCCGCGGGCCTCGCTTGCTGGTCCAGGCCGCCGTCCGGTCAGCCCCGCGCACCAGGCCCCGCGCCACTTGGCCCAGCAGGCCCATGGCAGGAACTGAGGAAGACGAAGCCTGTCCGTCGCTTTCTCCCTCGCCTCCGACGGATTTTACCTCAGAACACAGGTCAACATCCGGCGCTCTCATTGGCTCCGGCGGCGCGCGGCCAATCGCCGGCCTCGATACAAAGAAGGAGCCAATGGGGGAAAGGAAGCGGAGAGGAATTCGGACGCCCGGCCAATCAAGACAGGAATTTTTATAAGGGAGGAGCTTCATGGTTTGCTAGCTAAAGAGCTCTGTTGTGATTGGTCAGAGAGGCTGCTTAACTTGCCGCCTCGCTATGGCCCTGCCCATAGGGAAGGAGCTATCCTTTGATTGGTTGTTGGAGGCCTCCTTGCCTTTCCGCCCACATTCCACCCCCCCTCCGTGTGAACTCTGGCGTGAGTTGGAGCAGCGAATCTAGGAAGTCACAGGTGGGCGCTGCAAACATAGAGCTAGCAAATCAGAAGAGTGATGTGTGGAATAGCAGCAGTCGTAAAGGAACTTTTTATTTGTTCCTATCAGAAGCACCGCAGTACAAAGAATGAATATAGACTTGACCTTTGATCTAGATGGGCGGGATAGAAATCCAATCAATCAATCAATCAATCAATCAATCAATCAATCAATCAATCAATCAATCAATCAATCAATCAATCAATCAATCAATCAATAATTTTCGCCCTGCAAAGAGTATTTGGGGCAGCCAGCACCAACCCTTCCATAGTAACGAAAGAACTAGAAAAGATTGGGTCCCTGGCTTGTAGAGAGTTTGAATCCCCGCCTGTGCGGGGCTGGACTGGATGACCCCTTAGGGTCCCAGCACCATCTCTTCCATAGTAACGAAAGAACTAGAAAGGATTGGGTCCCTGGCTTGTAGAGCCAGAGGTTTGGAGTTCGAATCCCCACCTGTGCCGGGGCTGGACTGGATGACCCCTTAGGGTCCCTTCCAGCTCTGCAGTTCTAAGAGGATGATGTTGATGGAAAACGACCAGATTTGGTTTCAGTAATTGGGGTGGCTAGGTAGCTCTCTTCCATAGTAACGAAAGAACTAGAAAGGATTGGGTCCCTGGCTTGTAGAGCCAGAGGTTTGGAGTTCGAATCCCCACCTGTGCCGGGGCTGGACTGGATGACCCCTTAGGGTCCCTTCCAGCTCTGCAGTTCTAAGAGGATGATGTTGATGGAAAACGACCAGATTTGGTTTCAGTAATTGGGGTGGCTAGGTAGCTCAGTGGTTTGGTTTGGGAGTTAGACTCCCCATTGAACAGGGGCTGGGCCGGATGATCCCTTAGGGTCTTTTCCAGCTCTGCAGTTCTCAGCTTATTATTATTACTATCAATAAATATAAGAATGTGTCACTCAAAACCAACACCCTCCATACTATGGTATTTCCAATTATGATTTATTTATTTATTTAACTTATATGCCGCCCACTCTACTCAAAGGTCTCTGGGGCGCCTTACAACAATTAAAATTTAATTAAAATACAATAATAATAAATCCATACAATAAGGTATGGATGTGAAAGCTGGGCAGTGAAGAAAGGTAATGGGGAAAAAATATTAATTGGAAAGGTGAAGTTGAAGAAGAGCTCTCTGTAGATGTGATGCACCACCAAGGAAACAAACACAGTACAAGAATGTTGGATCAAATCGAGTGTCTACTCTAGGAGCAAGAAATGGCTAAATTGAGGCGATTGTCCTTTGTCTCTACATCCTGTGACGGGAAGGGTCGCTGGAAAAAAGAAAATAATGCTGGGAAGAGCAGAAAATGGGTAGAAAAGAGGAAGATAGATTTTAATTAATTAATTAATTAATTAATTAATTGTATTTTATTGTATTTTATTTTATTTTATTTTATTTATTATATTTATACCCTGCCTATCTGGTCAAACGACCACGCTGAGACGGTTTGTGCGTTTCATAAAGGGAACATCCCTTCTTCACACTTTCTGGATGGTTTTAGAGACGGGCGCCTAGAATCCCCCAGGTGTTCTTCTACTACAACTCCCAGAAGGCTCCGCGGCGGGCTGCGGGCGAGCAAGGCCTTCTGGGAGTCGTAGTCCGAGATCAGCTGGGAACCCGAAGTGGGGAGCCACGGGTCGAGAGGAAAGTCAACGGGACAAGGCCCTGAACACCCGGGGGGCGGAAGTGACGTCACGGAGAGCGCGCCGGGGCTATCACCTCCCCCGACCTGCCGGGTGAACTCTGACCTTTGGCTTCTCCCTCAGGGCTCCTTCCTGAGGGGGGAAAAAAACCGCCGTTGGGTGCTCGGCGTCCCTTTTTTTCCCCTTCCCGAGGCGGCCGGCCGGCCTGAGGGGACCCGGCCATGGGGAGCGAGGCCCCTTCGGCTTCTGCCCCCCCCGTGTTTTTTCCCCCTCCTTTCCTCCTCCTTCGCATCCTGAGGGAAAGGAATTGGATCCTGCTAGCCAGGAACGGGCAGCTTGGCAAAGTTTCCCGTCCGGGGAAAAGTAACGACTTTCCGGTAACGGGGTTTTCCCCCTCCTTTCCTCCTCCTTCGCATCCTGAGGGAAAGGAATTGGATCCTGCTAGCCAGGAACGGGCAGCTTGGCAAAGTTTCCCGTCCGGGGAAAAGTAACGACTTTCCGGTAACGGGGAAAGTAACGACTTTCCAGTAATGGATAAAGTAACGACTTTCCAGTAATGAGGGAAGTAATATTTTTTAAATTTACTCTAATGGGGAAGTAACTTCGCCGTTATGGGGAAGTAACGACTTTCTTGTAACGGGGAAGTAACGACTTTCCAGTAAAGGGGAAAGTAATATTTTTTAAATTTACTCTAATGGGGAAGTAACTTTGCCGTTATGAGGAAGTAACGACTTTCTTCTAACGGGGAAGTAACGACTTTCCAGTAATGGGGAAAGTAATATTTTTTTAATTTACTCTAACGTGGAAGTAACAACTTCGCCATCATGGGGAAGTAACGCCTTTCCGGTAACGGGGGAACTAATGACTTTCCATTAATGGGGAAAGTAATATTTTTTTAAAATTTACTCTTAACGGGGAAGTAACAACTTTCTTGTAACAGGGATATAGCCGTTGTTCCGTCACAGGAAAGTAGCCATTTTTCTGCAACAGGCAGGTAACGACTTCCCCATAATGGAGGTCTAACGACCTCCTGGTTTCCAGGAACGGAGCTCTTGCTGACGTTGCTCTGAAGTTACTAACTCTTTACTAAACCCTTTTTGTTGAAGGCGGTGCCGATTTTTATAGGCTTTTAAAAAGGGACCCACGATTCGCTTTTCTTCTTTTGAGCTCAGAGGCTTCTTCCCACCGAGGGGTCCTTTTATCTTGCTTTCATTCCTGTTGCAAGAGATACTGAATTCTTCATTCGTTCACTCTTTGTTTACGAACTGCTTCTGGGGAGACATCATCCTTAAGCGAAAAGCTGAATTTACTCTGTTTTCACCTTATTACTGTTAACCGTTGTGTAGAGAATGCAATATATAAATGTTGGTATTACGATGTTCTGTGCATTTGATGGTGTTTGTTTTATTTATTGAAAATATTTTCGCCCCGGCTTGTTTTATTTCCAGTGAGTGGGATTCAAAGTTGGGGAGGATTTAGTTTAAATGCACGTGTGGTTTGAAAACCCTTTGGCGGTCTGGTGATGTTGACATGTGTGAGCCTATGTTTTGTTGGAGATCTAAGGATATTGATAGCCACGATCTAATTGGAGAGCTGTGCAAATTTGAGAAAGATATCTAGTGTGTATAAAGCGATGGACCCAGGGGTACTGAGTTCGAATCTTTTCTCAGCCATGGAAACTCAACTGGTGGAGAAAAACTGGTAAAACCACTCCTTATATAACTTATTTATTTTGAAAGCCCGGATAAGGGTCACTATAAGGCAGATTCTGACTTGACAGCAGGTAACCCACAACAATATATGGGATGGGTTGTGACTCAGTGGCACGTAACAACAAAAAAATGTGTCGTTATAACTTTCAGTAGTATATCGCCTCTAATTAAGAAGTAGGCATTTGTCATGGTGGACCCAATCACGGAACTGGGGCGAGGCACCAAATACAAACACAAACTTCTTTATTAAATTCAGTTTGTCATTCAGATTTAGGCTGACGGACTTAATGTTGCCTAAATTGAACTACTGGGGGGAAAAATCGCACAAATTACAAGCCTTCCCAGGTAATGTTGGTGAGTGTAAGATTCTAGCCAATATGTATTGCCTGCGCTGGGCTTTGTTGCTAAGTTACACGTAACTTCATTTTAAGCTTTTAGACTTTCTTGGAAAAAGGTTAGGAATGTAAATGATGGTGGTGATGATGACAGGCAGTGGATGGAGAGCGAGAACTCATAATGAAGATTCTATGCGTTCTTCAGAGGCAATACAGTAAGATCCTCATAGCTGCTGCGGATTGGGGCCAGGCCGCATGGCGGATACTGAAAACTGTGGATAATAGTCAACATTATAGACGGAAAAAGAAAAACAATCTAGAAAGACTAATATCACCGTGCCTGATTTAATATGTATTTATAATTTGAAATATTTCTGTACTGGAATCTTTTTTTGTCTCCTGTTGAGTGCCAAAATGATGGAGTAGGCTAGTTCATTCCTATTTTTTAAATTCAATATTATATAGATCGGTGGATGTTGCTATAACAGCAATAGGCTATATCTGTAATTTATGACGTGTGGAATATATGCAATGTGCTATAAGGACCCATTTGGACATTCGGGCTGAGGCCGTGGAAAAAATCATGAAGTGGCCTGGAGGAAAAGGAGAAGCTTTTACAGGAGTCGAAAAAGATGAATGGACTTGGAGCTGAAGCTCTTTCTAATTGTACTAATATACCTCAGGACTGTCTGACTCTGCATTAAAGAGATGGTGCATCTCAGCTCTGCTGGCTTGTTTCCTTCTGGTTTCATTTGTTTCTCATTATGCAGCTAACAACTGACTTCCATACTGTTAACACCTCCCGTCCCTTCTCAAAATGCACATTTCTGGGAAGACTTTGGTACTACACACTGTTTTCATGCTCTACTGTAACGAAGGCTAACTAAATCTAGGTACAATAACTGTCTATAAGAGGACTTCTGTATCTGCAGGATTGTATCTGCGGTTTCACTTACCTGCGGTCTGAAAGTATGTATTAAAAAACTCTTGATATATGTATTTATATGATATATTTACTAGAACTGGCCACTAGGGGGAGCCAGAGGCCATGCTGTTTTTTGAAGACTACATACATAGCATGATCTCTGGCTCCCTCTAGTGTCTAGCTTTGAAAATATGTATTTCAGGATTTTTTTTACTGTGCTATGTATAGTGTTCACTGTTATCCACATTTTTCAGTATCTGCAGGGGTGGTGGTGCTTGGAACCAATCCCCTCAGATACAGGGGGGTCCTATTGTATTTTTCATGGTGGATCCCTCCCTCCATTTTCTTTCTTTCCGCTGATACCTCTCGTATGTTGGCAAGCTTTTTGGGTCAAGGGCCTTCTTTTGATATGCTTTGTGAAATGCTTGACATGTAAATGGCACGAAATTATCTACTCGTTGTTGGTGCCAACGAATGTTTTGTTATTCCATACCAATAAACAGACAAATGAGTGGACATAGATGTGAACGTGTGTTTTCTGAGCTTTTGGTACTGGTTTGGCAAGAAATAATGATTCATTGAGGGCTACTGTTGAAGATTCTGTCATAAAAAAAAAGGAGAAAGGCTTTGCCCTCACCTCTTTTAATCACCCAACCTTAATGACAAAATGACCTCAGTTGTTTACTCACTGTGTACATTCAGGGCTAAGCTCTGTGTTTGTTGTATTAAATGTGCCAAGCCCTTGGGGTGGACCAGAAATAGTTCTCTGGATCCAAGCCGACATCATCTCCAACGTGGCCTCAGCGAAAGGGAGAAACTCTGTGATTGCCCGTCTGCCTCTTCCAGCGACACATTCTTTCCTGGGCAACTTTGGCGCAAGTCAGTCCTACGACAGGAGGAGGTTCCCAGGATGATTTGCTGAAAAGGTCACGTTCCGCTTCGTCGTAGCGCCAGCCTTAAGAAGAAAGAAGCAGGAATGCTAGCACAAAGATGCATTCCCCCCCCCCACGCTTGTAATATCTCCAAGGACTAACCTATGCCAAAATCGTGTTGGGATTTTACTAACGGGCTGCAACAGGTAGAGCTAGCTGGATAGCTCAGTGAGTTGGGTACGTGGCTGCCGAGCCAGAGGTTGGGAGTTTGATTGCCTCCCGGAAGAGCCAGCCTGGGTGGCCTTGGGCATGCGACACAGCCCCAGGGCGTCCCCAGAAGAAGGGAATGGTTAACCACTCTCTAGAAAACCCTGACTAGGATCCCCGTCAGTCAGAATTGACTGGATAGCTCACAATTATTATTATCAATAAATAAAGCATTGGGTATGTTATTGAGGAGGTGACTGGAAGTTCATGGCTTAGGCATAACAAGTTCATGATTCTTTGGAATTCCTAACAGGATTTGGGACACGAGGCTTAAGTTTCGGATTTAGACGAATGTTTGACTCTTTTCCTCCATGGGACGTGGTTCTAATCTAGCTGGTTATCTTTGGAAGTCTTTTCCCCCCTCCCTTCGGTCTGGTGTGTAAGGCAACTCAGCGGCCCTCCACCCATATTGACATCTCTGCTGTTTTGTTCCTTAGGTGGACTTCCCCTCAAGTTCAGATCTCACCACGCGGGTCCTTCAGTTTGTAGAAGACAGGATGCAAACAACGATGGTAATGTTACAGCCTGTGTGTAGGCGTGCTCTTAACTCAGATACAGCAGGACCCCCATATCTGTATGATCAGTGTCCACTGATCCTTGGTCTGAAAATATTAAAAGAAAAATCTTAGAAATGCACACACACACACATATATATAATGAATGTTGCTTTCTCTGTCTGCTTTAGGCCAGGAGGCCTGCCTTTTGGGTTTCCTCTGTAAGGAATCTTGCCCGCTCTTGGAATGAACTCTTACAGAACAGCTGGTAGTACACGTCTGCTTTCAGCAATGACAGAGTAACGTGTGCCGGATCCCTGTGCCGTTCAAAATCGGTGCAGTTCAAAACCTCTTATACCCCCCCAAAATAGCTAGGAAGCACAAATAGTTGAATCTCTCTCACACACGCCTTTCCTGAACTGCATCAGGCTCCCGGCATGCCCATACACCCTCCCCAGCCGCTACTGGAGCTGCTGTGCCAGTCAAGGGGACCAGCCAGGGTGCAACCGTTGGACCAGGAGCTGCCACGCTGCTCACCCAGGGGCCTTGGGAAGTCCAAGACGCACCTCCTTCAGGCCACTTCCTGGAGATGAATAGCAGCATAGTATTTATTGAACATCTATTTACTGAAATATGTATTTATTTGTTGGAAAATCTTCATGTATAACGAAAACCGTGTGGCTCGGTTCGGTCCTGTGCAGTTCACGGTTGAAGTATACAGATCTCATTCACCAGAGGAGGACAGCAGAGTTAGCATGCCCAGTGCAATGAATGGAAATTGGCTTTTCTTAATTGCCCTCAAAACCATGCGGCTCAGTTTGGTCCCGTTCAGGGTTGAAGTATACAGATCTCATTCACTAGAGGAGGACAGCAGAATGGAAATTGGCTTTTCTTAATTGCCCTGTTTGGCTTCAGGTATTGTTGTGTGGTGCGGAGAACCTCATAAAATCTCCCCGGTGAAATGGGAGTTCTAAGATGCGCTAAGGAGGCTCGTTGCCAGTTCTGAAGGGGTCATAAAAGGGGGACCTGAAAACCCAAGGGAACAGAAGTAAAGAGATAAAATATAAAATTGGCCAGTGCAGGTCAGTGAAAAGGGTGTTCGCGCCTTGTCCCCTTTAAACGACAGAACAACCAGGCAAGGGGTATCAAAATTCATCTGGGCTCAATTTAGTTTGCTCAAATCCCATAAAAGCCCAGGCACGACTTTTTCCACCCCCAACCATTGCGTATTTTGTTGTACATTTCTAGTACCGTAGGACCCTCCTTTCCGCGGGATCGCTGATTTGTTTCCCTGCTGTCTGAAAATGCGAAATAGAAAACTAGGAGGTACTTACCAGAAATGACCACCATAGGGAGCCAGAAACCATGCAATGTGTTGCTTTCTATGCTTCTGCGTTCTGGGGCTTCCGCGCAGAGGGAACCGATCCCCCGCGGATACAGTGGTCTTACCGTACAGTTGGAGGAAAGGGATGTGCCTAAGCCGTATGTCTTTTGTCTCGTTTCTTCCCGCAGTTAACTGGAATGGTTATCGGTGCCACGGTCGCCTTACTGCTGATTGGGATCGTTGTCTATTTTGTTTACAGGAAGGTGAAGGAGTTGAGTAAGTAACCCCGGGGGTAGAGCTGGGCTGTATCGCAGGAGGCCCTAACCCTCACCTCCGTGCGCAAAGGAACATATACTGACAGCACGTCGGCCTTTAATGCCTGCCTGTGGAACAATTGTGGGGTGGAACCCATCTTCTTTCCAGTGGGACAGAAGTGTTAGTGTTTCCCTAAACGGTTTGAGAAAAGTAGGGTGATAGTCAGAGCTGCCCCGGGGGCGGGGGAGTTATTTTTTATGGGCTACAGATTCTGGAAATTGCCATCCTTCAGAAATAACTGTTCCATGCTCTATTTCACATTCTAACTGCAGTTGTGACACACACACACACAAAAATACACACCCAATCCCAGCCACCGGCTGCCTCTTTCCTGTCTTCCTCTCGACTCAGCCCTCTCTGTTAACTCCGCTGCCTCTTTGTACGGTAAAGCCATAAGCGGTCTACCAGCGTCAGCGTGCCATTTCTTCGCTTGCTGCTTACATGCTGAATCTGTACGGCCCATGGCAGATAGGTTATGGGACCGGGTGGGGGGATTTATATCTAGTGAAACGCCTCCTCCCGCCTAGATCTACTCAAATCACTCGCTCTAGCCAGGAGGGGCTGTTGAGGGGCCGAACACCGAGGGAGGCCCCGGAAAGAAAGAACAAGAAACCAGGCCTTCTCGGCAGTGGCCCCTTGCCTTTGGAATAGTCTCTCCCCGAGATCCGCCTGTCCCCCTCGCTGGGTGTTTTTAAGAGCCAACTCAAAATCTAGCTATTTAGGTAGGCCTGTCACTGATTGATTTCTAATTTCCCATCTGCAATGATATTGTTATTTGTTGTCAAATTGTTGTTTGATATATTAGATTGTTTTGAGTCTTTTTTTATTGTCAGCCGCCCAGAGTAGACGTTGTCTAAATGGGCGGGATATAAGTAAGTAAATAAACAAATAAATAAATATTCTGTCTTTCAGAGCAACCTCAGCCCCACGTGCCTCAGTACAGGTTCCGCAAGAGAGATAAAGTCATGTTCTACGGTCGGAAGATCATGCGGAAGGTAAGGATCACCCCAGGGGCGCCCTCGGGCCCCGTCTCATTGCAAAGCTAAAAGCAAATATACTGCTGGGTGCTTGACAAGTTAATTATGCAGGCTGCACATTGTCCATTGCAAGCTGGGTCCTCCAATTCCCGACTTCCAAAAGGATGGAAGGCAGAGTGAACCTTGAGCCGGCTCCCTGGGATTTGAACCCCAGGTCGTGAGCAGAGTTTTGGCTCCATCGCCGCACTCAGCATGGCTACAAACGGAGGCGTTTGCTTCGCAGCCGGATCGGTTTGCTCCCTCAGCTGAGAGTTGGACTTGAGCTTTGCTTTCCCTGATCTCTCCTAGATATAAAAACGCCGGTAGATCGGCTGGGACTCGGTGGGCGTGGGCTCAGCCGTGGCTCGTGGCTGGCTCCCTCCGTGGCTTTGCAGACTCTCTGGGGCACAGCCCAGTGAGGTCCAAGGCTAAATAATTGCTATTCTTGGCTCGAGAAGGCCTCGCGGAATCCGGGGGAGTTAAAGAAGTGTTGCTTTGACACTGAATCCGTCCATCCGCTCAGGCTAAGGCTCGCAAGTGGATTTCGTTCTGCGTCTGTCACGCCCTTTTTTGAATAGTGCCGTGGCGTGCAGGAAACTTAAATAAATTGGTTTTATGAGTTTTTGTTTTTGATACCTGCAGTTGAACTAGATATAGCATGAAATACCACTCCAGATCTGGAAATGTGAGGGGGAAGGAGCCCGACCCGTTGCTAAGGAACCGCTGACGATATTTATCTGCTGACGCACGCAGAGTGACTGGGGGAGGAAGGAGAGAGTTACGTGGATACGCGCTCTGGGGAATTCCTCAGACTTCCCAGACCCCCCCCTCCCCGCGCGAAAGGGCAGAATCCGCTGAGAATTGGAGGCTGAGAAAAATGGAGACCGTGGAAGCGTCTAAGCCTCCCAGTTCCTAAACTGGGAGCGAACCAGCCAAGCCCACGGTGCTGGCTTGTTTTTGCCTTGTAGGGCAGGTCTCGTCGGAGGGCAGCCCGAAGCTAGGAAATGGGTTAGCAGAGCTGTCTGGATGGGTGGCTTTCGGCGGTAGCGTTTGCATCCGACCCGTAGGTGGCGCTCTAGGCCCCGCCATTGAGGCTACAAACCTCAGTCTGGGAATTTCGCTTTGCTGACGGGGCAGCTAAACGTGTCAAAGATGGAAGGCTCATCCTCCCACCCCGCAAATCCAATTACCTGCCCCCCCAACTGAATCCTCGTTTTTCCAGTGAGGCTGAGATCCATCACAGCACCTAGGGAATCCTCCTGGTGTAGGTCATCTGTGGGATCGCCACCGATGGAGTGATCGTTGAACTATAAATTTAATTCCGGTGATCTGTCTCCCTGGCAGCAACACCCCAAGCTCAAAAGCGAGCAGACGGCAGCCCTCGAGAGAAGGTTCTGGGCCCCCAGAGGTTCTGGGACTACAACGCCCAGTTGCCTTCACCACTAGCTCTGCTGGGCCAGGGGTTTCTGGGAGTTGCAGTCCAAGAACCTCCAGGGACCCCAGGTTGGGAACTGCGGGTCTAAAGGTTGCCGGACCGGAATCTCCACCTCTGCCCGGACGGGCGTTGGCCATCAAAGTTCAGCCACCTCCGCCTTCCCTCTCTTTGATGCCTTTCTCTTTTGAGGTGTCTTGGGAGGGAGGGTGATCTGCCCGCGGGTTTTGCAGGCGCCCGTAGAAATCCACAGGGAGGAAGAATCTAGAGGAATTGTCCGTTTTGCGACACTCGACTTAAACCCCGATAAAACGCTGGCCAACCGTTCCATCTCAAAAAGCATTCCGTGTTTCAAACCAGAATCATCCGTTTGCTGTTTTTGCTGACCACCCGTGTATCACACTTTCCCCGCTCCCAGGATTAGCTGGTGGTCCGTCCCTCCGCTCGCGGAGAAAGGGACCACGGCACAGGGCTTTGCGTACACAGACAGCCACAGGTTCCCGTCCCACCCTGTCCAGCTCGAGTTTATTTCTTTCTTTAAAATATTTTTTACCCCTCCTCTCTCTTTAGAAAGGACCCAAGGCGGCTTCCGTCATTGAAAGACGGTATTTGAAGCGGAAAACTATGAGTCTCAAGAGGCTGCTTGCATCGCTAAAAGACAATATTTAAATCTAAAACAAGAAATGGGCAAAGATTAGGGAAGAATCCTTCCCCAAATCCTGCAGAAGTGCTACAAGACAGCATGGACCATACGGGGCCTGGATGGACTACGAGTCTGATTTGAGGTTGCCATCATCCCTGCCCATATGAGTGTTAGCCCCAGGGCTATTAAGCGTATAAGCCTGGCTCGGAAAAGCCAAGGTCGTGGGTGTGTCTTCTGCCTGATTCTCTGCCGGACCAGGCGCCTTTCTTCAGCAGACTCTGCTTCCTCCTAGGTGACGACACTGCCCAACTCTCTGGTCGGGAACACGGTGCCTCGGCAGCGGATGCGGAAAAGGGCCAAGGTCTTGTCCTTGGCCAAGAGGTATGGCCTGAGACCGGGGGCGGGCCGATGCAGGGCCCTTCTTCACATGGGGCGGACCGAACCCCCATCCATCCTCGAATCCTGCCCCTTTCGGTTCACCTGGCTGGAAGGAGGGTGGTTGGGTTTCCCCCCTCCACCTCTGCAACTAAACGCGTTTTAGAACCCAGGGGAGGCCCAAGCAGATGTTCAAGGGAAGAAGGTTGAGTCCAGGTTAGGAGGGAAGCAAGACCAGCCGGAGGAAGAAGACGGCGAGATGGTACGAAGCTGGAGGAGGTAGGACAACCGCCCCCCCCTCTTCTGTACCTGCGAAAGAGCCCTTTTCCCGTTTCTTGCAGGATCCTCCGTTTCAAGAAGGAGTCTCCCACCCTTCAACCCAAAGAGCCCCCTCCCTCTTTGCTGGAAGCCGACCTGACGGAGTTTGACGTGAAGAACTCTCACCTGCCTTCCGAAGTCCTCTACATGCTGAAGAACGTCCGGTAAGGAGGTGGCGCATCTCCAAAATCTGTCCTCCACCGCCCTGCTCAGCCCTTGCAGACGCGACCCTGTGGCTTCTTTGAGGGAGTCAGTCCATCTCGTGTTATTGGGTCTTCCTCTTTTCCCGCTGCCGTCCACTTTTCCCAGCAGGAGGGTCTTTTTCCAGAGAATCCCGCCTTCTCAGGGTGTGCGCAGAACAGCACAGCCTCTGTGTCATCGTTTCTGCCTCCGGAGAGAGTTCAGGCTTGATTTGATCTAGGACCCCCTTCTTTGTCTTTCGGACAGTCCAGTTCATCCACAAAGCGCGCTCCGAACACCGCATTTCGAACAGATCAATTTTTTTTTCTCGTCAGCTTTCTTTTCCTGTCCAGCTTCACGCCCTGCGTTTGGGAAGAGTTGTTAATCTGGTGGGTGGGCCGGTAGGTTAGCTCGGATCAATAACCAATGAAACGCAATAGAACCACCGTAACTGTGGGGGATCCGTTCTAAGCCCTCCTCCGCCAATAAGGGAAACCGTGGCTACGGCAGTCCTACTATAGAAAGATGCCGTCCAGCCTTGTTCTGCGCTTGTATCTGATAGTTCAGGTGGGACGTCCCTCGGGCGGTTCCTTGCCAAGCCCCTGCAGCTGGTCCCACTGACTTGCTCCTTCTCTCCCTGCAGAGTCCTCGGGCATTTTGAGAAGCCGCTTTTCCTCGAGCTTTGCAAGCACATGGTCTTTGTGCAGCTGCATGAAGGGGAGTACATCTTCCGGCCGGGGCAGTTGGACAACAGCATCTACGTGGTCCAGGATGGGAAGCTGGAAGTCTGCATCCAGGAAAATGTAAAGCTAACCCATAGCCAGCCTGCCTTTTCAGACAAAAATGCCCCCTGTTTCGTGATATCCGTTGTATTGCCCCAGGCTGCAAAAGTGAGGGCAAGGGGGGAAAAAAGAGAGGAATTTCTATGTTTAATGCATGGCTATCGAGAGTTTAAAAACTGCCCCGCAAGAGGAAAAATAATGGATCAGGGAGAATCCAAGCTTAACACCTGACATGCTGGCTTTCTAAATGAAAGGAGCTTGTTCCTGGACACAAAGCCTTTGGAGCTGCTCACCCTTTGCCCACTGTGGCTTTCAAGTATTCTGGCCGGGGCAGATGGGACTTGTAGGCCAAAACATCGGAAGAGATGCAGGCACCTTTTGCCTGATTTAGACTAGCTTCCCCCTATCGAGTGCCTTGCCTTGCAGTTTCTGTCATCTCTGATCTACAGATGGGGGAAACTTCCTTTTAAATAAATAAAATAAAAGCCGCGTTGGCTGCTGGTGGTGGTGGGGATTCTGGAAGTTGTAGTCCAAGAGAGAAACTTCCCTGACCTTTTGCCTTGCTGGTTGGGGACTGTTGAGGGATGTCGCTCGAGAGCACCCGTTTAAGAAAGGCAGATACAGGTAGCTGTATTTCTCTTTTTTTTAACTTTCTCACAGGACGGGACAGAAGTGGTGGTCAAAGAGGTCCTGGCCGGTGACAGCGTACACAGCCTCCTCAGCATCTTGGATGTCATCACAGTACGTTCGCTGTGCCTGTCGGTACAGTTGTAGGTTGCGGCTTTGGACATTCTTGTGTTTCTTCTAATTCTCCCCCCCACACACACCCCTGCCTTTCAATGTATCATAAATTCTAACAACCAGACATCTATAAACAGATACAAGTCCTTCTTGGAGAAAATGGCTGTTCTCATAATGGGTGCGGACCTCCTTTTTTTTCCACGTCAGATGTAAAAAAAAATGGGCGAGAATCCCGGGTTTAAATGATGGTTTGTCGTGACAGCTCCTCCCACAATGGTAGCTTGATCCTGGCTTGTCTCCCTTTGGTGTGCTCTGAAACATAAGCTGACATAGATCCTAAAAAAGAAACAAACAGGCTAGGAACTAAAAAGACAAGTGTCAGTTGGTTATACAAACTGTACCTTAAACCCAGCGTGGACCATTCCTTGTGATATTGTCTATTGCATCTGCATGGTGTGTTCTTCTCCAATTCTTTCCACAACGGACAGGAGTCAGTAATCTCCTTTTTCCCTTGGTAAGGCTGCTTCTCGGGCTAACGTTCCAGCCAACAAGCTCTTGCCTTAGGCTGTTCTTTTTGCTTAATTATTTTTTAAAAGAAAAACCTCCTGTAATTAAGAATTGATCAGCCAGTTGGGAGCAGGGCCTTTGTGTGAAGGCAGAAAAGGACTTTTCATTTTTCTCCCAGCTATGGACAGAATGTATTCTACGGGGACAAACACTTATTTTGCTGAATTGTTCAGAGGATCCAGAGGCAGAACGAGGTTAGGACAGAGAGCAGGAATTCTCTGGGTGGCTTGTGTAACCCCCTCCGATGGGGGTGGTGGTGAACTTTTAATTTTAAATCCAGAAAGAATCCCTGCAAATATTTGGGTTTTTTTCTGTCTTTTTAATTTGCAATTTTTTAATTGATGTAGACACATTTTTGCTGCAAGGTTAGTCACACACTGGTGTGTTGGATCGGCCCCCACACCATGGAATGAGCCCTGATCAAAGAGATGCTCACAATCATCCTCCCCTCCTGAGAGATGCTCTGACCCATTTTGTGGAATTTTAATGGCTTTTCCCCCTCTTATGTTATGTTATTTTATGATTATTATTCTTGTTCTGTTATTCTTATAATCTGTTCATATAAGCCATCTATTCCTTCCTTCCTGTCTATCTGTCTGTCTGTCTGTCTGTCTGTCTGTCTGTCTGTCTAATCTAATCTAATCTAATCTAATCTAATCTAATCTAATCTAATCTATCTATCTATCTATCTATCTATCTATCTATCTATCTATCTATCTATCTATCTATCTATCTATCTATCTATCTATCTATCTATCTATCTATCTATCATCCACAAGCTTATAATTATACAATCCTGGAGGATATGGAGGTCCTACTATATTCTTCCCATTGTGTCATTATGGTTAGACTGCAGATGTGTTTCCACTGAGCAGTCACAATGGACTAACTACTACTTCACTGCATGCTAGTGTGGTGTAAGCCTGATTTTACCATCATGGAATATTTATTAATCACCCTTTTCTTCTCCAGCTGGTATAGCTTAAGGTTGGTATAGCACTGCTGCATTAGATTCTTTTACTATTTATTTATTTGATTTCCCTCCTGTATTTCAACCTGTAATGAAACAAAACTATCAATTTCCACAAAATCTAGACTCTACATTTGTCAGAAATCATCTGAAAGACAAGTAAATTTTTTCTTGTATTTTATTGCCCTAATTTCTTCCTTCTCTCTAAAGCAATGCCGATTAACCTTAAATGTTTTACAGGGCTTTTAAGTCATGAGACTTTATTGAGGTAGTACTTTAAGTCCTTGATACTTGTATTTCACACTTTTTTGTATACCAGTATTATTTATAGTTTATCTTCTTGGTTAGTTCAGCCTCTTTCTGCAAGGACACGGCTGAACATTACTCAGCAACAAAGGGGAGTTCTTCAGCGCTGGAGGCCTTCAAGAGAACCACGGGGGGGGGGCAACCCCTTGTCCGATTGGCTTGGATTCGGGTTCCTGCCTTGAGCCCCCGAGGCACCTCCCAACTCCAGTGTTTGTGGCTGGTTCTTCCTTTCCCACCTCCCCCGGGGGATGAAAAGATCATTAGCACCCATTAACTTTCTCCCGATCTCTCCTGGGCTGACTTTTTTTTTTGGCCCGCCTGTGACCCTTCTCAGATCATCATGGTGAGGCTGCAGAGAGTGACCTTCCTGGCTTTGCACAACTACCTCGGCTTGACCACCGAACTCTTCAATTCTGTAAGTGAAGCCTCGCGGGGAGGAGGGAGAAGGATGAGGGGCAGATGCCCAGAGATCTCTCTTTGGGCAGCGGCTGTGGTCAGAGCTACAGCTGGACCTCCTCCATTAATGTGTCCGCTTCCCGTTAAAGCTAGCCACGTCGCCCACCTCTTGCAGCATGAAGGTCAATTTGTTATTCCTGTACTGCCCGGAAAAAAAACTTTTTTACTTCTCTGCCCCCCATATCCATGGCAGATTTCACCCAAAATTGCCCAGTTCTTGTTTTCTGGGAGGAAGGACTCCTTTTTTCCTTACTCGTTCTTGTCGCCCGAGACCGAACTGTCGTTGCGTCTCCCTGCGCCGCAGTTCCCAACTTAACACGAGTAAGGAAGAGATGGGAAGAATAGACGCTGTTAGCCACTTGGGTCCATCAGCATGTTTGGGGAAAGCAGGATGAATTCCTCGTTCTCCGTTAGTGATCTCGAAACGGCGGTACCTAACTTTGGGTCCCCCCCCAGATGTTCTTGGGCTAAAACTCCCAAGGTACCTAACCTTGGGTCCTTCCCAAGATGTTCTTGGACTAAAACTCCCAGAAGCCTTTACTACGAGCTGTGCTGGCCAGGAATTCTGGGTGTTGTAGTCCGAGAACCTCTTGGGGGACCCAAGGCTTGGGGGAAGGACCGCTGTCCTTAACATCCAAGTCAGGAGTGAAAAAAGGGATCCTTCCAGATGTTAGGTGCAACTTCCAACATTGCCAGTGCTGGGGAATGCCGGGAGTCACCGTCCAGCCACATCTGGGGGGGCGTCACTTTACGCCTCTCGTTCTGGGTACCTCCCCCTCCCTTGGAGTGCTTTGGAAGCTAAGCTGCTCGGCAGCCGGGAGCACCCACTCATCCTGAACTCGCCTTACAAACATCAAAGGTGCTCTTCCGGTTTTGGAAGAAAGGTCTCCCGCGGCTATTTCGAGCAGTGGAATTTCAGACAGGATTCGGGCGCCCTGGCCGTTGACTAGGGATCCAGTGGGCCTTCCTGGTCCAAATCCGACCAGGGCCAGCTGACCCCTCTGTTCTCCACCCCTCGCTAGGAGAACCAAGCCATCCCGTTGGTGTCGGTCGCCAGCGTCACGTCCGGCGGCAACGCCAGCAAGGTCGTGAAGAGGCAGCTGTCCAATCTGTCGGAGGAAGACCGGGCCGAAAGGCAGGAGAGACTGGGGACACCTCCTGAGACAGGTGAGATCTTCTCCGTACAGTAGGAAACCTTCCCCCCCTTACCTGTGGGATCAGTAGCCGCTGATTCACGTATCCACACCCAGAAAATATTGAAAGTGTTGAAAGAAAAATCCCAGAAAAATGTTTTTCTAAAGATGGCCATGAGGGGGAGCCAGAGACCATGCTGTCATGATAAGAACTGGCCATGAGGGGGAGCCAGAGACCACGCTATGGACTTGCTGTAATCTGCATTTCTTCAGCATCCGCGGGAGTGGCTTGAAACCAACCTCTTGTGGATATGGGGATCCTTATGTATAGGGTTTTTGTACTGATGATCCATGCATCTCACGTGCGTGCCGGACACTTAACCAATAGAGCAGAGAAGCCCTGGGTGTGGAGATTTCTGTTTGTGGCCCCGATATGCCTCCCCCCCCGCCCTCCCCCGACCATCCACATCATGGGGATTACTTGTATAATTTTTGTAGAGGGAGCAAGTTCTCCCAGCCTTCTCGGGTGAGCCCACTAACCTTTGTGTCCACGTTCTGAACTGCAGACGGAGGGCGATCTGGATCTGAGGTTCCCCTCAGGAGGAGCTTGTCTCTGACATCACCATCATTAACCGGACATACGGATACTGCCGGTGAGCAGAGCTGCCGGGTGGGGAGGACAATTCAGCTGGGGGGGGAATGGCGCCGGGTTCCGATTCTCCTCAGGATCGCTTCTTGAGTGCGTTTCCTCTTTTTGAACAAGGACGGGGAATAGGCAGCCCTCCAGATGTGGTCGTTCACTTCATCATCAGCCATACTGTGGATCCCAGCCTTAGGTAGTCCCCAATGTTCTTGGACTGCAATTCCCAGAAATCCTGGCCAGCGCAGCAAGGGGCGAAGGATTCCGGGAGTTTTAGTCCAATAACATCTGGGGAACCTCTGGCCGAGAGCAAGAGGAGGGTGGACATTTGACACTCCAGATGTTCTAGACAGCAACTCCCACTGTCCCTTCTCATGGGCATCATAGGCCGGGGATTCTGGGAGTTGAAGTCCGTTCCTGTGGCATGCCAGAAGCTCATCCCTTCTGGCCTGGAGAGTTCGGGGGGCTCATACCAGCAACACCTGTAGGTCCGGAGGTCTCCCACCTCCGTTTTAAAGACCTCCGAGGAGAGCGCAGCTGAACCGTGCTTCTCTCTGTCCCCAGGGACCTTGGCCGGGGCGAAAGCGGACTTGGATATGGCCTACGAGAGAGCCAGAGTCACCTCTGCCTCCTCTTCTTCGGATGTGCTTTCCAGCCCGGCCACCTGCAAGGTAAACGCCCTGAGACCCGTTCGTTTCTTTTAAGACCAGTTAACTGACAGTGGACGGAGCAGAGCGCCATTCCTGCACAGGCCGCTCTGCGTGGCTCCAAATTGGGATCGCATCCCACAGCCTTCTCCTGTTCTCGTTGCGGCAGCTTTATTCCCTTCGAAATTGATCTGCCCTGCTTCTCTTCATCATAAAAAAAAACCCAAAACAGCTCAGAGGGGTTAGCGAAAAAGCTGATGAAATGCCCGCGTCCCTGGATGTGCCCAAAGGAGGACAGCCTCCATTATCTCTGGATGTGCCCAAAGGATGACGGCCTCCATTTCAACATTTTCGCCTTCAGTGAGAGTTCAGGCTCAATTTGATGTAGGACCCTCTGGTTTATCTTTCTGGCAGTCTGCCGTATCTGCAAAAAACTTCTCCTTTCAAACAGATCCAGTTTTTTTTCTGCCAGCTTTCTTTGCTGTCCGGCTTTCACACCCCTCCATAGTGACTGGAAATATGATACAGATGTCTCGGCTGAACCACGATTTCTGCCCTGTTGGGATGAACCTTGGACTGGCGCTCCTTCTTCCCCCACTTCTGTTTCATGAGGAATCCTTTGCCAGGGGGTTCAGAACCAGGCAAATCGTAGTTCTTGCAATCCCAGTTTGGAAGCCGCATCCCGAGAGGCGTTTTCCATCCCAGTCTGGGGGCAAACGACCTTCTGGGAACCATAAACGGCGATGCAGCCAAGCGCTCGCCTCACTCCGGTGGCCACCTTTTATTCCTCTGGGCTGCTCTGCCCTTCTCTTTCCCCTGCTTCGCGACCCTCCCAAGGCTATTCACGAAATCAAGGATTAAGAGATCAGTTCCGTATGTTTCCTTGCTTTTAATTCGAGTGTGATAGAAATCTGCGGCCGCCAAGCAGAACAGATTTATGCGAGAGTCAACAGAACAACAGAACACTTTATTTTTACAAGACTCTTAATAATCTCTGTTGACTTAAAAGTCAATAACGCTTTCAGCATCTGTTAGATTTCTTTCCGCTTCAACCTTTCCCTGAACTCTTTGCGTGCGTCACCTCCCCTCACCCTCCAACCATCCTCAAACACCCTTCAATACAACAGTCAAGATCCTTTCCATCATCTTCCTGTGGCTCTTTCAAACCACTTTCAAACCCTTACGCGGCAGCCTCACCCTGCTTTTATTCTTTCCAGTGTCTCAGCGTGTGTTCTTGCGACCATAAGTGCCTGTTGATGAGAAAAAAAGGGGGTGGACTAATCTGGGGGAACTTGACGCTATTCCGCTCTGGGCCACCCTCTGCTGTGGGCCGACCATCTGACTTAACATAAAGCAGCTTCCTAGATTCCCAGCTGATTTCGGACATTTCCCACGGATGTCTTTCAGCCAAACATACCTGAGCCGTTAAAGTTCTGGATGTCTGGGAGGGCAGGACTTGAATGCAGTTCTTCTTCTTTTCTCCCCCCCCCTCCCCAAAAGTCCATCTTGACGAAGGTGACTGTCACGGAGATGCCGTCAGCCGTCTTCCACTACACACAGAGCAACCTCCCCGTGCAGGACCCCAGCGCCAGCAAGCAGCTGGACGCCATCTTAGAAGCCGCCAAGAAGGACCTTCTGACGCTAATGAAACTGGATGTGAGTTGAGCGGGGTTTGGTGGTTTGGAGCCGGGCGCGCGTGGGCGGTTGAAGTTATTGGAAAATGCTGGCTTGCCAGTGGATCGCTCGGTTTACCTTTCTCTCCCGCCCGGCTAGAAGCAGAGCCGCTGGTTTGGGCGGTGGGCACAGCAACACCCCAAAAACTAACCGAATAAGAACAATGAAAGCCACTGGAAAAAAAATAAATAAATCTACGACCGGCCCATTTCAAACGGTGCGGGTCTGGATTGTCGCCTGGGATGTTCTGTATGATGTCCCGGGCGCCTACTTTGTGGCCCCCCAGGAATCGGTGTAAACGGCCCTGATGCGGGGACTGGAGGGTTTCAACCCAGCGAGGATAACCCCACGCAGGAAGCCGTATCCACTTCCGCCTTTCCCTGACGACTTCTACCGCTTCCCTTCCTGTGACAAACTGGGGTGACCGTTTGCTGCTTCCTCGCCAAGTATTTTTTTTTTTAGACGGGGCTCCAATTTGTTGCCCGTAACCTCTTTGTGCTTCCCCTCTCTCTCTCTCTCTTCGGCCTGATTAGAACCCGTCTCTCTTGAATGGGAAGGTGACCCTGCACCAGGTGACTGCCGGGACAGTGGTGTCGAGACAAGGAGACCAGGTGAGCCCCTTCTGCTTTCCGTACTGTAGTTGTTCTGATCTCCTCGGACTGGATTCTTCCACACCAAAGGTTTTCTGACTCCACAGCTCCCAGGCGGAAGGGGACATTCAAAGCCCTTGTGCTTCCGAGCCTTTGTGCCAAACGGGGCTTCGCTAGTGTTCTGCTGACTCACGGATGCTGGCTTTTCCTAACGGAGAGCGGTTTGGAAGGGCACGTAGAGAGGAGAGGCTTGCTGGTTTGCCCAGAGGTTGTGTTAAAGCAGGAAAGGGATGAAAATCATAGCCGACAGAGGGCATCCTTCCCCTACGGCTGCCCTGCTCCGTTGAAACAGCTGGAAGGTCACTGTCTGACCCAGGCATGCATGCACAGGTCTCCGGGCTCTGAGTCAGGCAGGAAATCCAGTCGCTGTGTGTTGATTAAAGCAGGCAGGCTACCGACAGATGCTTTGACAAAATAAGAGGATAAGACGGTACATTGTTAAGAAATCGATACCACAATGCTCAGATTTCTGCCCCCGTCATTTTGTTCTCTCCACTGTCGATAGGAGCTCCTTTTCCAAACGTAAGGCCATAAGGATGATGACACGATCCATCTCCACGGGCGGTTCACCTCTGCCGTTCGTGTGTTGTTACTCACACATACCTCGGGGAGGTGAACGGTCTGATAATAACTTCAATAAAGCCGGCAGGACACTTTTCTCTGCTTGGATCTGTTGGGCAAAATGCGGGCCGGGCGATGAGGCGTGCAGTCTCCTTTCCCTGCCTGGTTCAATTTTTTAAAAAAAGGGGGGGAGTCAAAAAGAAAAAACTGTTCAGCAGCTAGAAAACTTTCGGTCCCATCAATCCATGGTTGCTGAAGTTCCGCAGCCTGCCGTTTGCATAGATAACGCAAGGAGTTCAGCGAAGAAATAAAGAAATAATCTGGATTTCTTTGAAAGAAGGGGGCAAGTGTATTAAAAACAGTGCCTCTGCCGATCTTCACACGCCATGCTTGGAGAGAGGCGAGTGCGAGAAGCATCCTCTGAGCCTGGCCTTGATGAGCAAACAGAGGCAAATAGACCACAGAGGTGTAAACGAAGGAACTCTTTTGTCGTTCCAGGACGTCAACATCCGCTTCGTGATCTCCGGGATGCTGCATGTCTATCAGCGGAAGATCGACTCCGAGGAGGAGACCTGCCTGTTCATCACCCATCCAGGGGAGCTGGTGGGGCAGCTGGCCGCCCTCACTGGGGAGCCCCTGATCTTCACCATCAAGGCTAACCGGGACTGCAGCTTCCTTGCCATCGCCAAGTCCCACTTCTACGAGTGAGTTCCCTTTCTCCGCCTCGACTCTCGCGCGCGAGAGAAGGCAAGGGCTTTCCCGGGACCGTTTGCCTGAACGAACCATTTTGAAAACGAAAAAAGAAGGGGTCGGAAGGGATGGGCCTTTTCTCTTTACCGTAACGTTGCTTGAAGCACGAAAGGGGGGTGAAACCAGCCTTCTGCTTTTGCTCTCTCCTTGGGGAGATAGTCTTGATATGTGTATCTGAAAGAGCTTTTGGGAGGTTCCAGGCTTCCTGACACCCATGGAGCGCCCTGTGCCCCGTGGCTTAGGGATCTGACCCTTCTGGAGATGTTCTCATCCAGATGCCTCGACTCTCGCACGCGAGAGAAGGCAAGGGCTTTCCTGGGACCGTTTGCCCGAACCAACCGTCTCGAAAATGAAAAAAGAAGGGGTCGGAAGGGATGGGTCTTTTCTCTTCACTGTAACGTTGCCCGAAGCACGAAAGGGGGGGGAGGGCGAAACCAGCCTTCTGCTTTTGCTCTCTTTCCTTGGGGGGATAGTCTTGATATGTGTGTCTGAAAGAGCTTTTGGGAGGTTCCAGGCTTCCTGACACCCATGGAGCGCCCTGTGCCCCGTGGCTTAGGGATCTGACCCTTCTGGAGATGTTCTCATCCAGGGTAGACCAATTTGCCGTCCTTCCTATGCTCTCCCAGTGGGGCCACTCGTTGACTCTGCCAGCCGCGCCGGCTTGTGAACGTGTCAAGCTGGCAGCATCTGTCGATGGACTCCAACTCCCATCATTCCTAGCCATTGACTACACCAACAAGTGTCCACGGGAGAGGCCATCCTTAGGGTGCCGCACGTTCCCCACACCTGCGCCAGGAGATTTTCCAGTTTCACAGGGGTGCTGAATCTACTAGTCCAGTGTTTTCCCAACCTTCGGTTCCCCAGATGTTGTCGGACTACGACTCCCAGAAATCCTGGCCAGCAGAGCAAGGAGTGGAGGGCTCCTGGGAGTTTTAGTCCAAGAACATCTGGGAGAGGCTTGGAAGCCCTTAGTCTAGCCAATCAGAGTTATGCTAGGCTTCCTGACAGTCTAGCTGAAGCCTATGATGCCTTCTAGTTTTCCTCCAATAACCGGATCCTACCTTTCTCCCCCTTCCCTCTTAAGCTTCGTGCCCTTCTCTTCTTCTTCTTTCTGAACTCAACGCCACAACGGCTCCTGTCCGAGGAGTTTGGAGGAAGGGCACGCGTGCGGAGCCCAGCCCGCTGTTGCCTTTCGCCCCCAGCTGCGGAGCTGACAAAGGCAGCCGCTTGGCAGGGGTGTCTCCGTACGTCACACACACCCCCTCCCCGCCGCGCTCCCGGAGCATCTCAGCCGTGGGATTTAAGTGCAGGGCAGATGCCAGCTAATTACACGGCTGTCCTCGTGCGGTGTGGCTCTGATGCGCAAAATGCCGGGGGTATTTTGGGACGTTGCGCAGGGCAGGAGGGGGAGGCTGTGTTTTAGACGGCACCTAATTAAGCCGTCATCTGGGTGGGTGTGAAGAAGGAAAGGACTCTAGCAACGTTTGCACCTGCCAAGGTCATGAGAAGGTTCTGGTGACGCTTTTCCCCAGGAAGCTGGCCTGTTGGGGAGGCGCTCTGCGTTGTCCTGTCCTGCTGATCATGGCGGGGCTTCCTTATAAGAACGCAAGACGAGCCCTGCTGGATCAGGCCAAGGGCCCCTGTAATCCGGCTTCCTGGATCTCACAGGGGCCCCACCAGATGCCTCTGGTGGTCACAAGAGACCTGTCTCCTGATACTCCTTCCCCTGCATCTGGCCTTTGCAGGTCCCTCCCTTCGAAGCCTGGAGATTGGACACCCCCATCATGGCTTGTCACCTGCGACGGACGTTCCCTCCAGGAATCTGTCCAATCCCCCTTTTAAAGGCATCGAGGCTGGATGCCACCCCCGCATCCTGTAGCAAGGAGTTCCACAGACCAACCAATCTTTCCTTGGGTCTGTTCTCTCCCAACATGGGAGTGGAGGTCCCCCCCGTTTTTGGTCTGGCGTGTGAGAGGAAAGAGCTTGCTTTTATCCACTTGATCCATCCCCTTATCGCATCGCTTGTATTGCTGCTGCCTCCGACATCTCTCCTGGAAATCCTTCTCCAAGATGACCCGTGACTCATGGAGGTCTCTTTAATGCATTTCTATATTTGTGTACCTGCGTCTCTTGCTGTCTTGACCTCCTTCGCCGCGCGAGGTGGCTGCAAAAAAAGCAAATGCTATTTTAGGACACAATAAGAGAAGCATCATCTCCAAATCCCATGAGGCACTAGTTCTCCCCCCCCCTCTATTCGGCGCTGGCGAGGCCTCATCTCAGTGTCCTGGGATCCAGTTCTAGATGCAGAACTTTAAGAATGTTGCCGACCAACTGGAGCCAGTTCAGAGGAGGGCGAAAAGGAAGATCAGGAGACTGGACACCAAGCCCTAGGAAGGAAAGACGGAAAGAAGTGGGCAGGTTGAACCTTGAGGAAAGAAGTCAGAGGGGAGAGAGGAGAGCACTTTTCGAATCCTTGAAAGGTCGTCCTCCAGAGGAGAGACAGGATCTGTTCTTTTTCGAATCCTTGAAAGGTCATCCTCCAGAGGAGAGACAGGATCTGTTCTCAATCATCCCAGAGTGATAAACGGGTTCACACGACACAAAGCCAGATTTAGGCTCTGAATACCTCCCCGAGGTCGTGGTTTCCCGCTGTCGTACTGCTCTAACAGTTAAGAAGTGTTTTTTTTCCCTGAGATTCAGCCGAAATCTGGCTTCCTCTTGCTGGACCCACGGTGGCGTGTCCTGCGCTCCGGGAGGATGATGGGGAACGGATCCTGCCCCTCCTCTGGAGGATTCCCTTTCAAGGGTTTGAAAAGGGCTGTCTTCCCGGGAGAAGGTGATATTTGGGCCTCTGCTATGGATCTCAGGCGCGTTCACCCAGCCCCACTTTCTCCTCTCCAGAAAGCGTTTGTCCAAAGTGCGGTTCCATCATGGAGCGGGCCGTTCAAGGACGAAACTCTATATACAACAAAAGGATGTCAAGGACTTGCAAGCTTGACTCTTCTCTGCCTCTTAAGGATCTCAGCTCACCTGTCAATTTCTCCGGCATCGCAGGTCTCTCTAGCTCTGTCCAATCTTTGTCTCACCGATAGATCTCCCTCCCGGGGAATCTTCCCTCGTGAGGCCATTTCTAATCCAACCACCGCCAAAAGCAGCTTAATTAACATTTCCAAGCTGTAGGTTTTCATTGGCCGCCTCTGATAAAGAAGGTATTAATAAAGCTCTCCTTGTGTGGACAGGTTGCTCGGTTATTTGTAAAGTAAGCGAGAGGGATTTATTTCTACCGAATTGGCAGGGAAACAGCCGAGGCCGTGGATCCTTGCGGGAATGCGTGACCCATAATCTCCACAGCCTGTCCGGCAGCTGAGAGATAACTTTTTTTTATCGCAATGAAGTCTGGAGAGTGATAAGTGCCACCGTGGAGTTCCTGTTAGAAAGACTCTTCTGGGATCAGATTATTTGATTCTCAGGCACAGCATGCTAAGCTGATCCTTAGCTATTTGAGCCGAAAAGCTGAAGGAGGAGCTGTCATCATCCTCATCGTGATAGAACGGCAGAGCTGGAAGGGGCCCTATAAGACCATCCAGTCCAGCCCTTGTCAAGGAGGCCCCGAGGGGGGAATCGAACTCCGAGTCGATCAAGCCCCGGTTTAACACCGATCCAGGCGTTGGTCTCTTTACTTTTGTATCCATGAATCATCACTAATAAAGTTGATATTCTTTTACACAAGCGGCTTGCATTCTTCTCCATGATCCTTTGCCTCTGACCACCAGAGGCTCCGAGTCGATCAAGCCCCGGTTTAACACCGATCCAGGCGTTGGTCTCCTCTTGGCCCGTCCTAATAGCGATGCCTTTCTTGCTTTCCAGGATCATGAGGGAGCAGCCGACGGTGGTTCTGGGGGTGGCCCACACAGTGGTGAAACGCATGTCCTCGTTCGTGAGACAGATCGACTTTGCTCTGGATTGGATGGAAGTGGAAGCCGGGCGGGCGGTTTACAGGTAGGGCGCAGCCCCCGGCGGGCTGTTTGAGCGCCCCTTTCTCCACCACGGGGCGGAAGCTCTCAGCTGAAGTGTTACATTTGGTCCATGAGCCAGTTTGGGGGAGAGAGACGGTCTAAAAGCTGATCTGTATGTACAGAGAAATTATTCCCAGACCACTGTTCTACCCCGGTCCATCAGCAGGAGACCAAGTGTTTTGAGCGTTCACCCACGTTTTAAACTTCCAGACTATTGATGGAGATGTTTACGGATCAGCACACTCTTAAAGAGAGGACTGCATCGCTCCATGCGAACGTTGCAGAATGGAATGGAGACAAAAGCGCAGAGCGCTCTTATCTCCGTGCGCTGCAACACTGTCTTCCTTCCTACTGTTTTCAAGAGATGCAGAACTTCTTCTTTAACCAGGTGGTGGTGGTGGTGGGTCTCTGGTCCACGTGCAGGGAGACACCTCCGACTGCACCTACATTGTGTTGAACGGGCGGCTTCGCTCCGTCATCAGGATGGACGATGGAAAGAAACACCTGGCAGGAGAATATGGCCGCGGGGATCTGATTGGCGTGGTAAGAGTGGTGGTCGTCGTGGTGCGGGCACTGCTGTCTTCCTGATTTGTCCCGGCACTCCCTCTGCCCTGCTTGGTGGAGGGGGTGAGTGGGGGGTACCCATAGATTTTGTCTCGGAGGCACTCAGTCCAGAGAATGAGAGCCAGTGTAAAAAGTGATAGTGACGGAGGAATGGAGGACCAGTGGGGCGGGGGGATTCGAACCCCCAACCTCTAGCTCCACGGCCAGACGCCTGAACCACTGAGCGATCCAGCTAGCTTGAATCCCCATAGGCTTAATGACTCTTCCAAAATCAATATTTCGGGGTAGCATTCTGTAATTGTATCCGTTTCAACAAGAGCTTCGGTGTTGTGGTAAATTGGCTTTGATATTTCGAAGGTGGCTTCGCCATCAACGAAGGATCGGTTTTGCAAAGCAGCCGTGGATTTAGAAGGGGTCGTTTTTAGTTGGTCAAGGAGAAACAAGCGGTGGGATTCAATATCTCCCTCTGGAGCCTCTTGATTGGAAGGCACGCGTGTGTGTGTTTATATGTGAGAAACGTGATGTTTAAGCCTGGTCCTTGGCCGTCCCTCGTGAAATAAACTCTGCAGCAAGACAAAAGCATCCAGAGACCTTTCCACAATAAGCGTTCGATCCAGGCGCCCGTGATATATTGCCACGACGAGGAAATTAAATTAGCGAGCGCCGCACCGAGCCAGCTTGCGAGGCAGTGAATTCCATTTTACGCTCCAGGAGATAAGGATATTATACCCTGCTCCAAACATTCCTGTTAATTCAACACATAAATTGGGGGAGGGGAGGCTGTCAAACGGCTGCGATCCGAGCGACACGTTTTGCACCCAAGACAGTTTGTATTTCTTGTCTAGCAGCCGCTTGCCCGGCATATTCCCTTGAATCCGCCGAATTTCAGAAGCTAAGCAGAGTTGGGCCTTCTAAGTATTCCGATGGGAGACGCACACACTCCTCCAGGTTGGCACAAAGGTATCTCCATCTGACATCAAAGATTGCCCCCTTGCTCCCAGACTATGGGGCCGACACTCCCTTCCAACGGGGCTGTGATCACCTTTCTCTGGATGTTTGCCCTCGCCTCGTCACGCCCCTAGCAAAGGATGCAAACACCCTGAATCTACTCCAAAAACTGGGAGAAAGGTCTCCAGCAGAAGACGTCTGGGTGGAGAGGCATATTCTAATTTTTTTTTTTTTGTAATACAAAAAGACTTGGCTGCGTCAGGGTTTTGCAGCAGAAAAGCCGCCCTTCTCCCGAACAAGACCGTTCCCTTGGCATGGATATTCCAAGCGCTTTCCAAAAGGGACATTCACTACCCGTGCGGCCCTCGGGATTGCAGTTCCATTAGCGGCTCCTCTTTCCATCGCTGTACATTGCATCACTAGCCGGGGCGGGCAGGGGGGGGAATATGCACACACCCCCACACACCCCTCCTTATTCTGCAAGTGTGCAAAATCTGGCTCCTGTCTGAAAACGTTATTGACGAAGAAAATGTTGATCTCTGTTCCCTTAAAACCGCAACCTTGAAGGGCGGCTTGCAAAGACCGTAAAAATCAGTGGGTGGATGTGGCAAAGCAAGACGCGACGCGGCAAGGAGAAGTTCAGGTTTGGTCATGCAGGCGAGCCTAAAGGAGCTACACCCCTCGGAAAGGGGGGGCGGGAAGCCTCGCATGGTCTAGCCTTCAACTTTGCTTGGAGGTCAAGCAGACATTGTTTACGAAGCCCGTTCCTGCTGCATGATTTCCCCACCCGCCCAAAAAAATCTGGAGCCTTCAGATCATTGACACACTCATAAGCCGTTGATGGATTTTTTTTTCCACCCCTTCTTTGAATTTGGATAATGCCATCGTCCCGATGCTTGGCGATATCCGTGCGCCGGTATGTGAATCTTAGGAAAGCCTGCAGGCCTCTCTGATGGATAGTAGACTTCTGTGTCCTGAGCTGAAGAATCCGACGCAGTTTGGCCTCACGAAAAGTAGCCTTCACGCCAGCAAGAGACACGGCTGGAAACGAAGAGCGAAAAATCTTCTTTTTATTTCCCTTCTCATCCCACTTGACCGCCTTCACCTCTTGACTCTTTCGATCCGCTTTCCTTTCAAGCGAAGGACAAGAATTTAGCTCAGCTGTGGAGCCAAAGGTCGGGAGTTCGATCCCCCCACTAGGCCTCCTTGCCAAGGGCTAGACTTGATGATCTAGAGGGTCCTTTCCAGCTCAATGATGATAATTTACAATCAACATCATGCGTTGAACTCCTGGTCTGCCCTACATTTCGGCCAGCCGACTGAAACTATGTTTCTCACGGCCTTCCGTCACAGAGAGGGTTGTTTTCTTTAATTTTTAACCGAATCTTAGATTTCTGCCTTTCCGACATCTTTCTGATCCTACCCTTTCAGTCTTGGGCTCCACTTTACAGCGGCAAAACACTTCCAAATGGCAAGTGACGTCTGTTTTCCTTGCCGGAGTCCATTAGTTGCTAAGCGCCAGACCGCTTTGAGTATCCGCTCTCCCTCTCTTTCACCTGGACTGCTGGCGTCGATCGCGGTGCGGTGACACCGGGGGTCCGGCTGTCTTCCCGAGGATGGAAATGTCAGCGCCTCCCTCTGGGCAAGCGGGTGACGTCTCTGCGCTCAGCGAGACGTCTCATTAAGCAACAGGTCTCTCGTTTCTGGGTTCGGAAGGAATGCCACGAGGATCGAGAGCCGCAGCTTTAAAAGGAACCGACTCCCTTGCGCTAAAGCGAGCATCTTACGTGCCCCCCCTCCAGTGCGCAAGACCATCTAGTCCTTTTTTGTGCGGCCCCCAGGGTGTGTGTGTGTGTGTGTGTGTGTGTAAGTCCACCTAGCACACAAACAGTCTTTCCCTCTTCCTTCAAAACCTGGAGAATCCCATCTGTAGCACTTCAAGCATTCTCTCGGCAGTTGACAATTTAATGATGCAGGCTACGCATTGCCCCCACCTCCAGCGAGCTGGATGCCCGACATGTACCGACCTCAGAAGGATGGAAGCCTGAGTCCGACCGTTGAGCCAGGCTGCCTGAGTCCCTCAGGACTGAACTCAGGTTGTAAGCAGGGTCTTGACTGCAGTATTGCGGTTGAACCACCGCCCCACAAGACTCCTTTGTTTAGAAGGCTTGCAGCACTCCCAGGAAAGTTTTGCGGCTGGAAAAACGTTCCAAACCCCCCCGCCCCGGGTCCTTGGAGGTTGGCCAGCCTTTGCCCTGAAGACAGTGTCTTATTCTAGAGGAATTTAGGGCTCCCCCCAGAAAAAAAAATTGCAATATCCCTGGGAAAGGAAGAAGAGGAAAAAGGTAGACAGGTTGGATCAGGTTTTCATGGACTGGTTTGCTGTAGAGGCTGACCCTGGGGGTGGGTGGGGGATTAGTCAAGAGCATTGACTTGGCATGGAGAGACAGCAGTGGACCTTGAAAACACGACTTTGTGGCTTATGGTGGCCAAGGTTTAGGATGCCGGTGCCCAGCCTTGAGTCCCCAAGTGTTCTTGGCCAACGACTCCCAGAAATCCTGGCCAGCGCAGGATTTGGTGAAGGCTTCTGGGGGGGTTTAGTCCAAGAACCTCGGGGAGTTCCCAAGGTTGGAGAACGAGGACGCGGGACCCGGGGCTCGGAAGGGGAGCGTCCCGTAGGCGTCTTCGTTTTGTTTCGACCGGCCCGTCGTGGTTGCCGGGGCGCCAACTCAGAAGCCTCCCCTCTCTTGCTCTCCCCAGGTCGAAGCCTTAACTCACCAGCCGAGGGCTACGACGGTCCATGCGGTCCGCGATTCTGAGCTGGCCAAGCTGCCCGAGGGGGCACTGACCTCCATCAAACGCAAGTTCCCCCAGGTAAGGGAGTGGGCAAGAGGAGCTTCTCTTCCAGCAGGTAGTTTTCGCTTGGGATCGAGGGCCCAATGAATTGGGCTTCTCCAAGCCCCTTCTATATGACAGTGGATTCCAGCGGGACCCCCGTATCCACGGGATCAATATCCGCTGTTTCGGTTATCCAGTTTGCTAAAGCATACAGCATACAAGGGGGTGAGCCTGGTGGCTTTTGTCCTGCCCCCTTATGGCCTTTGTCCTGCCTCCTTGTATGTTATAAAAGGGTTCCTTCCTATCTGCGGTTTCAGGCATCTGCGGTCAATTGCGGAACCGATCCCCCACACCCGCATTCAGTGGTTCTCCTTCTGAAACCGGCTATACTGCTGCTAAGAGAGACTTTGTCTCCCAGGCATTTCTCATGGTTTGAAAAGCCCACTAGGCCTTTTCTGTGGCTGCTCCCAGGCTGTGGAACTCCCTCCCACTGGAGGCCCACCGGGCTTCATCTTTACTGTCCTTCCACGAACCCACAAAGACCTTTCGCCTCAGGCAGGCTCTGACTTCATGGCCACCTGCCTGAGAGGGGGTCCTTAAATGGGTCGTCATGCTTTAAATGTGTTTTTGATCTTGATTTGGTTTTACCGTTTTAGTGCGGCCTTTATTTGAGTCTTTTTGGTATCTGCGTGCTTCATTGTTTTTTGCTTTTAAATATTGTCTTTTACTGATGTGAGCCACTTCGGGTTTGTTTTGTTTGTTTTTAAGAAGAAAGGCGACGTAAAAATATTGTAAGTAAAATAAAATAAATATATGGATCAGATAAGGCAAATCTGGACGCTTGCCCACCCTTAGAAGACTTGACTTTGGGGCTTCACCTTGCCTGGTGGCGTTCTTCCTCTTCAGAAGCTCTGTGGGCTGATAATCCTAAGTATTTCACTTGCTTTTTCTTTTTAATTTATGCCTTTTTTCCTCTCTCTCCAAAAAGTGTCTTCTCTATATTTAGAAGAAAGCTCCATCTGTGTATTATTGCTCAAGCGGCTGTCGTTTGTCTTCGTATTGAAAACAGGCCACGGAACTCGTTCTTGTTTTGATTTTTGTCATTTTTTTCCCCCTCCCACCTCCTAAACCCAGGATCTCTGTTTTCTAAAAAGGCAGGTGGATTTCTACAGACAACAGTTAAGTGCCGTTGACGAGACCTTTGAGTAGTGAGAAACATTTCAGATTCGCTGGGGGCTTGTTTTTAATGGTCGAGGCAGGAATAATTTTGAAGAGTGTCGTTACTCCTTGTTGCTCAGGTTTATCGCTTGCATTTTTAGAAAAAAATTTAGATCATCTTTGTTTAAAAATATTTTTCCCACTGCTATCTTCTACATTGGAAAAAAAATTTAAATATTTTTCCCTCCTTACCCTAGAAAAAAAAATTAGATTATCTTTGTTTAAAAACATTTTTCCCACTGCTATCTTTTACATTGGAAAAAAAATTTTAATATTTTTTCCCTCCTTACCCTGCAGTGGGAGGGAGTTCCATAGTCTCAGAGGAGGAGCCACCGAGAAGGCCCTCCTCTACCGGGTCCCCACCAATGCTGCAGAGTCGAGGGGCCCAGGTGGGTGTTTTTGGGAATTAGATTATCTTTGTTTAAAAACATTTTTCCCACTGCTATCTTTTACATTGGAAAAAAAATTTTAATATTTTTTCCCTCCTTACCCTGCAGTGGGAGGGAGTTCCATAGTCTCAGAGGAGGAGCCACCGAGAAGGCCCTCCTCTACCGGGTCCCCACCAATGCTGCAGAGTCGAGGGGCCCAGGTGGGTGTTTTTGGGCTACGGCTTCCAGGGTTGGCCAGGGAATTCTGGGGGGTGTAGTCCAAAAAAACAACCCCAATCTCCACACCTCTGCTGTAGAGCTGCTCCGGCTTCTTCCCGATGGATGAGCATCCACACGATTCAGGTGGATGCAGTCTTGTGGAAAAGCTGCTGCAGGGGCGACATGCGGCCCCAGGTCCCCTTTGCCATCCCGATTCCGTTGGCTTGGGGATTTTCAGATTTCTGCCAAGCCTTGCGTTGGCCACCCTGGGGCTCAGAACCAGACTCGGTAGAGGCTTGTTTGCTTTATTTATTTATTTATTTATTTATTTCATGAGATATCTACCCTGCCCATCAAGACCCGAGGTCTACTCTGAGCAGGGCTTGCTTCGCTTCTCTCTCTCTCTTTTTTTTTTCCTAGCTGCCTTTCGGTCCTGCCTGCATCCACAAGGCTTTTCTCCTTGAATCCCCAGCTTTGCCTGAATCTGCTCTTAGCTGCCTTTCGGTCCTCCCTGCACCCACAAGGCTTTTCTCCTCGAATCCCCAGCTTTGCCTGAATCTGCTCTTTGGATCTTTCTTCCCACCGTCTTTCCTACGCCACGCATTTCAAAAAAAACAACAAAAACCCCTCAGGCATACAGCTGGGAGTTATCCGTGGGCCTCTGCTTGTTGGCATCACGGAAGGAGTTCGATCTTTCATGAGTTCGAGATGTGCCTGTCCTCCTTTTTTTTTCTTTTTTGCAAGAGACACACACTTCGCGTGCTGTCAAACTCCCAAGGAAATCGCGTGCCGCTTGCCTCGCACACATCCGAAATGGATGTTCCCTGCCCGTCGCCACGGCAACGGCAGAGTGACTCACCCAGTGGCGGTACACAACCTGCTGTGCGCTTACTCGGGGCTGTTTTTTGAGGCGGTGGGCCACGTGCGAGAGAGAGCGGCCACAGAATGAAGCCTGCAAATTCCTCTTTTTTCCCCCCTCGTCTCCTCTCCCCTGCCATCCGCCTGCCTGTGGCCTTGGGAGCCTGGGAGGGGGACGCGGAGGGCGAAGAATACGGTCCCCTTCACTCAAGATATTTACACCAACGCTGGCTGCATTCCTCTTTCTGTATCAAATACCGTATTTTTATGTGTACAAGACGCCCCATGTATAAAGACGTCCCCCACTTTTCTAACCCAAAATTAAGAAATCTAATTGGGGCTTAGCAAATGTAGGGGGAAAGGGATCAAAGCGCTGCAGGACCGCTTTGATCCCTGCTTTCCCTTCCACTTGTTTTTGTTCTCTCCTCGGCTTACTTGCGTGTATAAGACGGCCCTCAATTTTTTGTCTAAAGATTTTAGACAAAAGTATAGTCTTATACACAGACAAATACGGTAAGCAGATTTGAACACATATCTTTGTATAGGAATGATGTGATGTAGTGCATAGAGTTACAAACTTGGTCTCTGGAGAAAGTGTATATGTTTGTGGATACATAGAGAGAGAGGAAGGGAGGGAGAGAGAGAGAGATGAGATAAGGAAGGGAGTGATAGATGTGTGTGTATGTGTGTGTTTGAAAAATTATGTGCCATCATGGCGCCCTTTTTTCCAGGTAGAGAGTACTCAGAAGTGGTTTCCCCTTCCCTTCCACTAGGGGGCAACCTTGGGACTGAGCAGCTGGCCCAAGGCTACCCAGGCTGGCTCTTCTCCCAGGAGGCCCATTGGGGGGAATCGAACTCTGAACCTCTGCCTTTGCAGCCAGAGACCTGAACCACTGTAACATCCTGCCAGCTTCTTAGTCTATGTATGCAAGTAGATATATGTATGTAGTGTTTGTCTTCCATTCTGCATTCTCCTAACTCCGGGGAGGGGGAAGGATCTGTGCGGGGTACTGAAATTTCCCAGACCCCCCTAGAAACTGTATTCTAGGGGGGATCCCTTCCTTCTCTGTAAGGGCAGGAGGGCGGGCCGGCGTGGCCCTCTCATCGACCGAGCCGGGTGTGTGTGTGAGGGATGGCGCTCGGGAGCTCTCCGCCCCCTCCCTCGCTTCAAATCAACCCCAGCCCCAAGAAAACCTTGCTCAGAAGCCTGAACAGAATTTGCCGTGGAGCGAGTTGAAAACAGAGCACAAGAGTAGATCAGCCCGGACGATCCATGGAGGAGAAGGGGGTTCAATCCCCTTTGTGCAAAGGGGTTAAAGATGGAGGCCACACAGAGCAGGGAACCTTTCAGTATTGTTTTTTCTAAAAAAAAAAATAAGAAGAGCAATTAGTCACTCAGCCTTAGCGGACCACGTTGCCCTGGAGCGATGGCTTTTTCACAAAAGCTCTCTCCGCTTCCTGAGTTTTGGCAGCGGGCCATTTTTTTTTAAAAAGGATCCTTTTGTAGTCTTTGCTGCCTGTTAAAAGATACTCCGGTCTCAGCACTGTTGTACTGATAGTTCTCTCTCTCTCTCTCTCTCTCTCTGTGTCTCTTTCCTACATTGTGTCCCTTTCCTTTTTTTCCCTCTCATGCCAGGTTGTAACCAGGCTGATCCATTTGTTGGGCGAGAAGATCCTCGGCAGCCTTCAGCAAGGGGGTAGGAAGTTGTATTCTCGGTCCCCCCCCCTTAACAATCAGGAAAGGTGGCTTTATCGCCGGCGGTTTGGCCAAGCCCTTCGATTGGCTGAAAGAGCGGATAGGGAGTGCTGCTATTGGAGGACAGAGCGTCCAGCTTTAGCGCCGCTCTGATAGAGCGTTCCGTTCTGGCGTGCGGCTGCTCGGCGCCCTCCTGCCTGGGGCATCATCTCATGCCCGTCGGTGGGCTGGCGATTCTCCTCCGCCCGTCTTGGCTGGAGCAAAGCGAGCTGACCGTCCCTGATACGGGCCGGAGAGGAGTCTTCCTCATCTCCCAGCCTCCTCACAGAAAATGGGCCGTGTTCCCTTCCCACCGGCTCCAGCGACGTGAAGTGTATCGTGGGAAGCACACCAAAGACTTGCGATCACCTTGCCAGCCCTGGTTACCCTCGGTCATGCCCAAGTAAGGCGGGGAGCTTTTGATCTCCCAGGAACTTTGGACTCCGGTTCCCATCAGCCAGCATAGCCACGGGTAAAGAAATCTGGGAGCCGGAACCCAAAGGGATGACAGAGCCCCCGAATCCCCTACTTTTTGCAACACGGGACTGTCAAAAAAAAGACCATCTAGACATGTGGGTTTCCGTCTTCGCTCCTCTTGCTGTTTTGGCCTTCCAGAAGTCCCGTTCAGCATGTCCAGCGGCAAGGACTTCTGGGAGTTGAAGTCCGAAGCAGGTAGAGAGCAGTGCTTCCCAACCTGACCCCCCCCACACACAGATGTTCTTGGACTACAACTCCCAGAAAATCCTGACCAGCGAGTGGCAAAGGCTTCTGGGAGTTGTAGTCTAAGAACCCCTTCGTGGGTTGTCCCAAGGTTAGGAACCACTGAGTTTAGAGGACCAAAGATAGAAAACCATTTCGGGTCAAACTAGATGCAACTCTGAGCCATCCCGTTGAAGGTGGTGATGATGATTATCTCTTTTGGACTGTAACCTCTCTGAATCCCCCAGCCTGGGGAGCCTGAGAATTGTAGCCAAGAAATTACTTCCCCTGCACTCTGCTATTCAGTATGTTTGAGTCGAGTGTTTATGACAAGTCGGACTCTCTTTCTCTCTCTCTCTCTCTCTTGTTTCCCCTGAAAAAAATCTCTCCCCTCCGACTCTCGCGTCTCCTTCCCATCTGAGCCAGTAGCATTTTGAGGAGAGTTTTCAACAGGAAGGGAACACACGCCTCCTGTACAGGGTGCTGATCTGCTTTTTTTGTGTGTGTTTTCCCCCTGAGAAAAAGTGATAAAAGGCACTCGGGAAGCGTGTGATTCAGAGGCCTCCCGTCTAATTCTATTTTGTGTACGCCTCTGGTTTTCATGGCCCAACCTTCAAATCTGACATTCTGAACATCTCTGATTGCTCGGTGAAGCAGAGTCTGTAGCCTCGGTCTCACCCCACCTCTGAAACCCATGTCACCTTAGCTCTGCCCGGTGCTGGAAAATCAAGGTGGGGTGGGGGCAAACCCTCCCAATTAAACCCTTGGGATCCACCAGGCCCACCTTCCCTGATTTACGGAGCCATATTAATGTCGTCAACGTTTATTCTGATATTCAGAAGGCTCCCGTTCGGGGTCTGATGTGGGAAAGCCGCGGGGTCTCCTCGTTCAGTCCCCAATGCCTGCCGGCGCGTCGCAAGGGACGGGACGAACCTCTGCTTTTTCTGATGGGCTTCCTTCACAGCAGGTCACCCTCTGGGACTTCACACCCCGAGCAGCAAATGGGACGCCAGTAACCCGGCCAGCAACCTCTCCACCGTGGCCATCATGCCGGTCTCGGAAGACGTCCCTCTCTCCACCTTCACTCTGGAGCTCAAACACGCGCTGTGCGATATCGGTAAGAGCGCCGAAATGGGAGCGTCGCCGGCGTTTTCCCCCCGAGGCCAAGCTCAACAGCTATCTCTGGCACGGCTCTATTCCTGTCTTCCTTGCAGCCTTACGTGGTCGATGGCGGTGGTTCCCCACCGTGGCTCGCCCAGATGCTCTTGGATGCAATTCCCAGAAGCCTTCACCCATCAAGTGCACCAGCCGGACTTTCTGGGAGTTGCAAGTGGTTCCCCATCGTGGCTCGCACAGATGCTCTTGGACTGCAATTCCCAGAAGCCTTCACCCATCAAGTGCACCAGCCGGACTTTCTGGGAGTTGCAGTCCAAGGCTCTCTGGGTGACCCAAGGTTGGCGACCACCAATGCCTGAGGGCTTCTGGCACAAAAGGGGGTCTTTCTCATGTCCGGGTCCCCGTTGCCGACGCAGATGCTGGAAACTGAGCATTGCCACGGAGGCCCTCCCTTACTGAGCTGAAACAGAGATCAAAAGACTCCGAAATGTTTTGAAAAGAGCCGTAATTAGCACTGAAATATAGACACTAGGGGGCACTCGCAATATTTAGCAAGGGGACCCTGTCATAGGTTTCCACAGAGTGCCCCTTTCTCGTCTTTCATAGGCAGCGTTCTTGTGGACCTTAGACTGGGAATTTGTTCCCCCCTACCCTCTCTACCTTCCTCGAAAACAGCAAGCTCTACCTTCCTCGAAAACAGCAAGCCCTTTTTGCGATTCACATCAAACTAGCGATGGGCAATGCGGAGCCCTCCTGATGTTGCTGGACTACAACTCCCATCATGCCTGACCAGTAACACTGTCGTGGGAGATGCAGTCTAGGAATCCTGGCTCCCCACCCTTGCCCCAAGGGTGAAGTGTCCAAATTTCACACGGGTGCTGAATCCACTCATCCAGCCGTTCCCAAGCTTGGGTCCTCCCGATGTTCTTGGACTGCAACTCCCAGAAATCCTGGCCAGGACAGCTCATGGCAAAGGCTTCTGGGAGTTTAAGAGCCGCTGGGGACCCAAAGTTGGCCACCACGACACGAGTCCAAATTCTGAGAGGAGGGACCAAATGTTGAAGGATCTTATTGCAGAAAAACAAAAAAACCACATTCAGAACCCTGGAGAGCTCCTTCAAATTGCAAGCTACAAGCTGTGGTGGTTTCATCATCCTCATGAAATCAGGGTCATCAGGATTTCATCATCCTTGTGCTAGGCAAGTCATTCCTGCCTTCTTGGGGCACTGACAATAGCTGGAAGAGTCTCGTGATAGGAAATATTTGTTCAACACACACCGAGATTGTCCAGAACCCTAGAATCCATGGACACAGATCATCCTTCCCTCCGTCAAAACACCCTTCTGTTGCATTCTTCTTCTTTTTTTAAAAAAAAAATTCATTTTCCCATTGTCCTTCCCTCCGTCACACACCCTTCTGTTGCATTTTTCTTTTTTTTTCCATTTTTCTCTGCTTTTCTCAATCTCTCCTGCCTAGCTGAGACGGTGCAAACCTTCCCTCCGTCAAAACACCCTTCTGTTGCATTCTTCTTCTTTTTTTAAAAAAAAAATTCATTTTCCCCTGCTTTTCTCGATCTCTCCTGCCTAGCTGAGACGGTGCAAATCCGCTTGACCGGATCTGGTCCATCACTCACGCCCGGTTCCGAGTCCCTTCTGGGACGTTGGCCAAGAGTAAGGTCGGGCTGGACAGAGGCCAAAGGCGACCCTGAATTAGGGAGATGCTAAGCTTGTCAGTTCAAGGCCTGGGTAGCGTTTGGAAGCCAGAAAAAGGAAGTAAGGGTAGAGAGGCACTGAAAAATCGGTTCAGGCGGGTGAAGATCGGAACAGTGGGACCGGTAGGAGATGAGTTGGAGACACTAAGATGTAACCAGGAAATTTCCCGGCAGGGATGACGGACTCGTCTGTGTTTTCTTGGGGATTATGGCCAGCTGCTTGCACCTAGGAAGGGCGAGGATCCTTGTTGCTTGTGGCGCACACCGAGCCCTGCCTCTCTGGGCCTCCGATGCCCCTTTGCCCCTGGGGTTTCGTCTCCCTAAAGTAGCGCTCGTGACGGGCTGTAGCGTCGCCTGCACTGCTCTTCCCGGTGGTTTCAAGTGACGTGGTTGCTGGCTCTTAACGGAACGAACGGCAGCCCCACCCTGCCAAACTCCCACTGGTGTATTTTGTTTTTTAAACCCCCAGAGACTCAGGCCCATAAGAGCCGCTTTGTTTAATCCTTTCCACCTCCCTCCCTTCCCTTTTTTCCCCCACGAGCTTTGTCCGGCGGCCAGTATTTAAATGCTTGCAAAAAAAGAAGAAGGGGCCCCACTGCCAGCGTCATGCTGGTGCATTAAAGGATGACGTCTCTCTTTGGAGAACGGAGGAGGGAGCCGAGAAAGCAGCCCTTTCAAGTCTCAAAAGAACCTCTGCGGAGCCGACATCTCGTTCTCTGAAGAAGCCGCCTCCTCGGTTCATGCTGCCCGAGGCACAGCGCCGGCCTCGGTCAAGGCGGAGGCTGGATCAGAGCGAACGGTGGGAAGAACTCTGCCGGATTGGGACAGAATCTGAAATTGAGACGGGGGGGGTGCTTTTAGACCACAGATCCCGGATTCCTCAAGCCAGCCCTGTCCATCAGCCCCCACCGTTTGCCAGGAGGGTAATCATTGTGATCGTTAGGCATGATGGCCTTTGTGGCGCCGGGGGTGGGGGGGGAGAGGGATTCTTGAAACAGCAGCCGGAAAATAACTTAGCCAAACTCTGACGCACGTCGAAATGCCAGCTATTCTTCGTTCGTTTAAAATATTTTGACCCTGCCTTTCTCCTAGGAAAAAAAGAACACAGGGTGGCCCACAGCATTAAAAACACAATATGCAAAGCTAAAAGCACTAAATTGTTCGGTTATTCAGGAAGAATGGATAACATTAGGTTAAAAAAAAAGAGAGAGGTTAAAAGCGTTATGGAAAGCCAGTTTAGAAGCAATGCCATAGAAATCATCCTGTTTTATTGTCTCATACACAGCCCGTCACTGAGAGAAAGCTTGACTGAAGAGGAAAAGTCTTGGCCTGCTGGCGGAAGGAGAGCCAAGGCGGGGCCGAGCTGGCCTTCCAGTGGCAGGGAGTTCCACCGTCTGGGAGCAGCCACAAATAAGGCCCTCTCATGGTTCCCCCACCGAGCACACTTACAAGGGTGGTGGAAGTGAGAGAAAGGCCTCCCTTGAGGATCTTAACGCTCAAGGGAGTTGAGGGCTTTTACAACCGGCACTTTGAATTGTGCCCAGAAACGGAAACATTTTGCGATTGCTATAGCGATCACAAAAAACTCATCGTTAAGCAATTTCGTCATGAAGCGGGGTCATCGTCAAGCGGGGCACCACTGTATTTCACCTGGACAGGTAAAGATTGCAGGACAGATTGCAGGACAGATACAGTGCATGGAGGCAGATCTTCCTATGCAGAGGATCATCTGCAGAAGACTTTCTGTTTAGTAGCCAGACTAACAAAAAACAACAACAAACAAACAAGAGGAGGGAGGTTTGGCCTTGTATACAGCCATGGACTTCTCGTAGTGCAAAGCAGCTGCATGGCAGATAATGATGATGATGATGGTACTCCAGAGCTGGAAGGGACCCTGTGTAGATCATGGATTCCAGTCCCTGTCAAGGAGAGAGCCAGTGGGGGAATCAAACTCCCAACCTCCAGCTAGACACTGAGTTATGCATCAATTCAGGTTGATGCAATACAGATTTCCTACGGCAGAACTTTTAAAAAACAACAAGCACTTATGCTTATCTTTTTCCTCCCTTACCCCACAAGGATAAACGCTCGTCGGTTTTAAAATCTGGAGGAATTTCTAAGAAAAAAAAAGATAAAAGGATAGGGCAGACATGTGACGATATGAAGAAAAGATGATTGTGTTACATTTAGAATACTGGGTGGCTTGTAAAAAGCAGCTAGAGTGTTTTGTGACACCTTAAATGCTACCTGTCGTTGTAAACGTGCCCCTCGGCTTGCTGTTGTTCTTGCTCGCAACCCACCAGCGCAGCTGCCTTCTTAGAAATTCCTGGTTTCTGCTTTTTTTTAAACTTTTCTTCTGCTCTCGGGGCGTGCTTAGTTTAGGAGCATTTATAAAAAGTTAAGAAGATTTTAAGGCCCTGTGCGCCAGTAGCAAAACATGCGAGAGACACCCTTGCATAATTGAAATAAAATATTATGTTGTCCTTGAGATGAACGGTAGCTTTGTTTGATTAAATAGGGGAGTCTTGAAGAAACAGATATATTTCAAAATCTGTCTAAAATGGAAAGCCTTCGGTGCATTTTGAATTTCTCAGGGAGGCTATTCTGCATAGTGAATTTTTGCAGCATTAAATTCCTGCTAAGCACCCCTGTTATTGATTTTATATGGCTCCTTTGCACATAAATCTACCTAAAGCAGCTTAAGAACAGAAATTTATGCAGCTGGGTTCTTAGAATAAGCAGTTATAATGAGCCAAATAACCAGCTCGGTTAAGGCTGTTAATGAATGAATGCATTTTAAATGCACCACGGAAGAGGCAGCAACAGTTGCGTATACTTTAACAAACAAACACAGCAAAACTGGAGTCAGATCTGATGTAGCGTACCGCGTATATAACCAGCAGAGTTAATCGAAAGTGCCCAGCGCAAGAAATGGGACCCGGAATCCTTTTCTCGTCTGTGGCAAATGGTATATCATAAGTCTATTTATTCAGCACTCGTTAGACCTCATTTAGAGTCCTATATCTGGACACCAGACTTTAAGAAAGATGCCCCGCTTGACGATGACCCCGCTTCACGACAACCAACGAGCAAGTTCAGAGGAGGGCATCAAGGAGGATCAGGGTTCTTAGGAGGAAAAGCTGGAAGAACGGGGTAAACAGAGTACCAGACTAGACTTAGGAAACCCAGGTTCGGATTCCCACTCAACCACGCGAACGCAGGGCAGGAAGGCGTCACCCGCTGAACCTCCTCCTTAAACATCTCCCATTCTTCGAAAACTCCACTAAGCCTGCCATAAAATCAGGTCCCACCCAGCAGCCTTGAAACAGATGCTTTACGTCTCCCGGGCGAGAGAGCGTGCCGTTGTGGCCGTGATTGATCGGCCCGTGGGCCACCGTCACTCGGCGCGGGATTCTCCCATCCGTGTCCCACGCGTGGGCTTCCCGGAACCAACCAGTTGGCTGCTGTCAGGAAACAGACGGCCAGATGAGATGGGCCTTTTTTTCCAATCTGATGCAGTTTAGCGTTTGTCAGTTTGTTTGTTTTTTACTATATTTCACTCACGGCCCCAAACGCATGTCAGTCTGAAGCTGAAATGAACGCCGTCGTCGTAAAGACTTGGAGTTTCTCACTGATGAGCAGCTAGTTTTCTATTCCCAGCCTGCCCGCTCTAGGCAGCAGAGTAAGGATTGACAATATTTGGTGGGCATCATGGAGCCAAAGGTTGGGAGTTCGATTCCCCGCTGTGCTTCCTTGACGGGGCTGGACTTATTTATTGGATTTCTATCCCACCCATCTAGACCAAAGGTCTACTCTGGGCGGTTTATGAATTTAAAAAACAATAAAACCTTCATAAGTAGGTAGAATGTTTTGACAATGATAGAGGCAAACCATGGTTTACTGTTTTTCTTGAAGCTGTTAAACAAGGGTTTGCACGAAGCCTTATTTGCTCGCAAACCAGGATTGCGAGCAAGATCAAAGCATGGTTTGCCGCAAAGCCAGGATCAGAACTTTCCTAATGGTTGAGCCATAGATTGCAGAGGTATAGGTAACATACACACCTAGGATTATGGCTGTTTTCATAACACTAAACTATGATGGAGTACCAAAAAAAAATCTGAAGTGGAGTGGGTAGAGATAAAGAATAATGGTTTGGCCTTACGTTTTCGAAGGGGCAAGAGATTTTACCTTGCCTTTAAAAACAAAAGATTTTCAAAGCCGGGTGATTAAAGCAAATGCTCTCCGGTTGCTAAAACCATCGGCATTAAAATGCATGAAAGCCACGATGAAAGAAAATTAGCACTTATATCATATGGTTTTAATTGGTTGATTAATCAGTTATAGCTGCATAAATGCGCATAGGAATTAAACAGGCTCTACGTGGGGGCAAAATCCTTTTCTCAAGAACATCAGTAGAGCTGCATCGTCTTCTTTACAACTGCCTATGAGAAACCCATATATAAAATAAGAAATATATTATACAGCTTAGCCTACAAGCAACCTTATTCACTGATATACTTCTTCTTCCGGCAAGATCTTCTCCATATTGTTCATTTTAATTTCCTATTTATTACGGAACGCTTTCTTTTCCCCCAGTCATAAAATAAATTCCAGCTTATGTAGATATTCGGTTTTTCTTGTCCTTTTAATCACTTTGTTAGTCTACCCATTTCTGCGTGTTCTAGTATTTTTTTTTTAAAAAATGATCACGTCGTCCTTCGGTATTCGTAAATCTCTTGTCCGGCAATGTTTTTCAAAAGGAAAATGGAAAGGACTCGAGTCGTGGGACTTGAAGTCAAGTCGGACTTAAGTCACGCCGGCGACTTGACTTGGTTTTTCTTTTTTTTATTCAGTGATTCAGACTTGACGTGCAACTGAGAACCCAAACCCCCCCTCTCTTTTTTTTCTGGGGGGTGGTGGAAAGCTTGTTTTTAATCGGGATTCGGATTCCAGTCTTGGTGCCGAAGATTTGTTTAATGCGAAGGGGAAGCGTGCGGCCGAAAAACAAAACCGCACGTAGAGGAGCTGCTGGTGGCGGTGCGGGAGGCGATCCCGGGGCCCTCTGTCCGACAGCCCCGGTTGAATTTTTCTTCCACCCCGTCGGTGTGCGTGGTGCTCCGACAAGCGCGGCGCCACTCACTACTTTTAATTCTCGGCCACCCTGTTTCGTTAATAGGAAAATGAGTTATTTCAGCCGTGCCTAGCCGAATCTGGCAGGGCTTATATTTCTCGGTTTTACACCGCTGGCACTTCTGTCAATACTGCCGATGACCTTTTTCTGCCCAGCACGGCATCAGATCCCTCTTTTTTTCTCTCTCTCTCTGTCTCTCTTTCTGCCGCTTCTCTTCCCTCCTCCCTCTTGAATGTGCCGTACAGCGGCAATGATTTTGTTGGGAGAACTTTGGCTCTTTTTTCCCCCTATTCTTTTTCTTCCTCCTCCCTCTTGAGTGTGCCGTACAGCGGCAATGATTTTTTGGGGGAGAACTTTGGCTCTTTTTTTCCCCCTATTCTTTTTCTTTTCTCTCCCCTCCAATTTGTGGCAGCAAATAAAACTCAAAAAGAGCTGCTTCTTCGGATGCAGGGTTCACGGCCTCTTCTGTGCTCTGAAGGGAGTTCGTCGAGAAAAGGCCGAGAGATGAAGAATCAAGCCGTGCTTTCGCGCTTTCAGGTGGACGCGAGCGAGCGAGGATCTGTGCTTCCAAAATAGCCGCTCACCTATGGCGAGCAAGAATGGTCTCCAGGCAACCCATCACAGGGAGCCTGTAGAGTTCTTTTGTATTTGCGCTCTTCTTTCAAGGCATCAAATGCCAACTATCAGCTAACTTGGATACCATCATCCGTTCGGGGGATTTCTTATAGAGTTTTTGGGGGAAACTAAACCAACCCCTACCCCAACCAGCACACATTCAATCCTGCTCTGGCTTCTTATCTTTTTGAATAATATCTATGTAAAAGGAGAACTATTAAACTGGGGTTCCCCCCCCCAAAGCTGCAGAACATGGTCTACTTTGTGGAGCAGCAAATATTTATGGCAGAAATCTTTCCCTGTTATTCGTGCCTAGAATATTTTAGCTGAGACTTGAACCCAATACCTTGTCTGTCATGTGACCACCTGGCTCTGTTGCTTCCCTACTGGTTGGGATCAAGCTATGGGATCAAGCCGCCCCTTAAAACTTCCCTGTTAAGAGCTTACCTTGTCTGTCATGTGACCACCTGGCTCTGTTGCTTCCCTACTGGTTGGGATCAAGCTATGGGATCAAGCCGCCCCTTAAAACTTCCCTGTTAAGAGCTTTTTTTGGGGAGTGGGGAGTCAACAAACTCTTTCATAGCGGCCATGCTCCGGCTATGGAACTCCTTGCCAATGGACGCAGGCTGGCTAGCCACCCGCTTTGCTGTCCTTCCATTGGATGGTGAAGATAATCTTATTTAGAGGGACCTTCGGCATCGAAGTGTGCTTATAGCTGAAGGCGCTGATCCTTTTTATTGACGTGCTTTTACCTTCTTCCTCTCCCTTGAATGACTTCGTTTTTTGTTGTTGTTGTTATTTTATTTTTCACGTTTGCTGCCTTCAGCCAGAATTGTACTTGGCAGAAATATGTAGGATACAAATTGAGTGAATGAGCACCTAACGCCATCTTTATATGCTTATGGGACATCATTGCTCCATCATACCTAATGTTCTGACGGGCAGCGTTCAAAATCCGAAAGGAAGGGGTGGCTGGCTTCAGCCACCTGGCTCCACCCGACCAAACCTGGATTGTCCCCTTGTGTCCAGCATTCGTTATCTCCTGATTGCCAGCTCCTCCCCCCCTATAATTTGCATATTTATAAAACAAGCTCCTGAATGGCTGGAGGGCAGGCCAGGAACCTAAAATGAAGGTCACCTCTTGTGCAACTTCTACAATATGAAAGCCAGCCTTTGTAAATTCTCCACGTTTCTAGACACCACCAGTGCAGCTTAAGAGCCTTGGTTCCCTATGCCTTTTGGACTACAACTCCCAGAAGCCTCCACCTCTCACTGTGCAGGCCAGGATTTCTGGGAGTAGCAGTCCAAGAACCTCTAGGGAACCAAAAAGTTGGGAACCGCTGGCTTTGAGGAAGATTTTCTAGTCGTTGTTGTGCCAGAACTCCCAGTCAGGCGTGCGTGGCTACTGGCTTAGCATTGTCACTTCAGTCCCTTTTCCAGGCGTGCTGATGAAATGACTGATGAGATATTTTTTTTTAAATCCTAGGTCCCACCCTGCTCCTCACCAGCGACAACATCAAGCAGCAACTGGGCTCGGCCGCTTTGGACAGGTAAATAATCCCTCTTGTCCTCTGGAAGTGGTGGAGGAAAACGCTGCTTTGCCATGCTCTGCATTTCCCGTCGCTCTGTCGCTTTCTCTCTAAAGGGCTCAGCTCAGTGAGGAGCTGGATAGCTGGGAGGGAGTCTTTGTTTTTCTGCTGCTGTGGAATGATGTCCCAAACCGACAAGGGGAGTTGAGGTGGGTGGGTAGTGGGAGGTAAAAGTAAAGGTTCCCCTTGACATTTTGTCCAGTCGTGTCCGACTCTAAGGCGCGGTGCTCATCCCCGTCTCCAAGCCGTAGAGCCAACGTTTGTCCGAAGACCGTTTCCGTGGTCTCGTGGCCGGCGCGACTAGACACGGAACGCTGTGACCTTCAAGCCGTAGAGCCAGCGTTCGTCCGAAGACAGTTTCCGTGGTCACGTGGCCAGCGCGACTAGACACGGAACGCTGTGACCTTCCCACCGTAGTGGTCCCTATTTATTGACTCACATTTTTACATGCTTTCGAACGGCTAGGTTGGCAGGAGCTGGGACAAGCGACGGGAGCTCCCTCCGTTGCGTGGATTTGATCTTACGACGGCTGGTCTTCTGACCTTGCAGCCCAGAGGCTTCTGCGGTTTAACCCGCCGCACCACCCACGTATAACACCAAATCAGTCCGAAAGAAAGGTTTTGCTGTTTGCAAACCGCAATTGTGTTCTGGAGTTGTTATTTCAACTTCTGTGTTAGTGTGAAAGCCCTCGCTGGGGGTTTTACAACATAGGTGCGGTCACCTCCAGAAAACTGGGTACTTATTGACCAACCCCAGAAGGGCAGAAGTCTGAGTTGGACTTGAATCAGATTGTTTTTACAGTGCCATTAAAGGGAGCCAAAAGAATTAATAATAATAATAAATTTAAAAACTCTTATTTTCCTGTTTTCCTGTAGGCTCCCTCACTCTCCCCCACCCACCCCCAACTTGTCAAGCCCTTGAAATACCAGGCAGCTGTCAGATTAATTAGCCCTGCTTTTGAATGAGTGGATGTTATTTCCCTTGCTTTTCTGAAAAGTTGTCACGAAATGTCTGATGAGCGGCTGGCAGCCACACATCCGCTGTCTTCGATGTGCGCGGGGGGAGGGGCCCTTCAGACGGGAGAAACCGATGACGAGGGCAAGACGAGAATAAGACGGGGAAAACCCTTGGTTAAAGCTGATGCGAAATGCGGGATGCCGAGAAGGGTTGAGAGCGGTGGTTCCCCACCTTGGACCCCCCCCAGATGCTCTCGGACTGCAACTCCCAGAAACCCT